TCCCAGATGACAGTTTCGACAAATCGGGTCGACCGATGCGAATGTTACGATTTATGCGGTATTTGAAAATTCAAAGAAGGAATTTGAATACATTTGAATGGACCAGCTTGATTTGAATGAGTTTTCATAACACCAATGATTTCAACTAATTTATGCGCATTTTCATGATAAAATACTAAGCTTTATTGAAATTGATGAGAATATATGACATTCAGTGAGAAACAGTAATTTTGGTAGAATTTACGTATTCGTTTCGTTCTCATCTGAAGTCTGAATAAACTTTATTGGATTAATGTGTATTGATTTGGCTACAAAGTATACAATTAAGACTTATTAAAACGTTTCTGCTGCCTCAAACGGTAGATATCTTGTGCTGGAGGTGGCCGTGGTGTAGTCGTTTCATCATCACTGTCATCATTGCCTGGCAGCATCTTCCGTTTTAGACCTTCGCCCGAATAGGCGCCATCGTCAACAATCCAATGAACGGATTTGGCTAGATCAAAGAGCTTCACGTCGCATCCATTGTCGCTGGCATTTGGAATTGGTGATGCTGAAAATGGATCATGAAATTAGTAAAATTCTTTGTGAATGATTCTATGGCAAAAGCCTTACATTCGGGCAACTTGATGCGATTGAATACATCAATGAGCGAATCAACACCAACGAATGGGCCACGAAAACACATCGGTGGTGGAAGCTGTGCACAAAGTGCGGCCAGAGCAGGAGGCTGCGGAAATGTTCCTCCGGCCAATGGATGCTCATATGGATATGGATTCGCTTTCGGTTTATACGGTATCATCTGTGAGAAATCTGGTCTTGGCAGCTGACACACAACCTCCTCGTTTTCCACTACGGATTGTTTCGTAAATAGACCCGTTTCCTGTAATTTGATTAGAATATATCGTTTTCATTACCTGAAAATTGGTTATGGGATTCAATTGGCCTGCTGACTAACTCACCGGTGAATATCCGATCGATTTCAGTTCAACGCCCGTACATGGGAACAAATCCAGAAATTTGTACCGATCAACAAGCTGCGCTGTCTCTTTTCCTTCGAATTCTTTGAGCTAAAAAACAAAAGTTATTTCAGGATGTTGCAATGCTTACTGACACTCATTCAATGCTTACAGTCTCCAGAACGGCACTTCGGCGACGTTCCACTTTCACGATACTCGATAAATCGCCAATATTCGATTCAAACTCCAAAAAGCGATTCCATACATCGACTGACAGCTGTGATGTTAAACCGCCCGAAGAAAGTACACGTTCGAACAAGACACGGGTGTTGTTATCCTCTGTAACCAGACACGATTGATTATTATTTAGTTAGAAGGGTTGAAATTAGTTTGAAAAATGACTCATTTTCATATGAATCTGAATCATTTTGCTTTCTCCACACCGACTTACCGTTCAAATGTGATAAATAGTCAACGTAACACTTGACATATTCGGGATTGCCGCCAAACTTCTTCAATCCCAATTCGAATATACGAAAGGCAATATCCTTATCTTTGCTGCAATAGTATTCCATGAGGGCAGCGGCAACGAACACATGATAACGTGAACGAATATCCTCGCGAGCCTTTTTGAACACGGTTCGAGCCGACTTTATACCCTCGGCACGTCTCGCGAATTTCATGTATTGAACATAAGTCTAGCAAGGGGAAGAAATGGAATGATGGGAGATGTGATTCGAATAAGAATAAAATTAAAATTGGCTTCAGTAAAACAGCAACAATGTTGCTTGGATCAACTCACCAATGTCGGATCAACGTCCGGAATCGATATGAATTTGTTGTACATTTGATGGACCTTATCGTATTTCATGCGACCTTCTTCAAAGTCTGCGTACGCAAAGTACAACAGTGCATTTCGGCACAGCGGCCCGTTGATTGCACGATCTAAAATATTAGCAGCTTCATCGGCGAATGCTTTGGCAGCATTTACATCCTGGGCGAGAAACCGATAAAAACAATGAAGAGAGAAACCGATTAAAAATTGTCGTTGGCTTTACAATGGATTGTTGGCTTAACTAAAGTAAAACGCAATGAATTTTCAATTACAAAATGTTTCCAAAATGTGCACTCAATTTTCAATCGGGAGAATTAGGAAGTTTAGATCATAAAAGTTTTAGACTTTAGAGCAATTCAATTGGGAGTAAATACAAAAGGAATTTCATTTCGAATGGCTTGAACCGTATTTTTTTTTTTGGAAACATTTGGCAATCCGAATTCATTTCATGTGAATGAAATAAATGACACGACACAATCGAGTTTGGTATTTGACTTTGATTTCGTTCATCGGCAATTGCAAATGCTTTGCCGATCTTTATTCGTATCACAGAATGAGCAATCCAAAATTGAAGCGCCACTAATGTAACCAAAGTTGACGCTGTGATTGTATCATCCACTTTAGTGTGTAACAATTCAATTGAAATACGCACTCCTTTTTCGGTAAGCAATTTGGAGCTTTGATCTAGGTATTGGGCCGCTTGATGCCAGACCGCCGGATGATGATTCAATACTAACAGACACTGTTCGGTTGCGAACATAACACGACGAGTAACCAATGCTGTGTCCTCGCTGCGAAGTGGATTCGATTTTTCAAATGCAATGTACTTCTTCCATAGTTCAACTTGTCGCATTTCTTCTTTAGTTAGCGTGGGCGGAATGGCGGGTAGATTGCGATTCAATCCTTTTGTGACCGCTTCCAATTCTTTGGCCACTCGACGTGCGTTCATGTAGTCACGAGATCGTTCCAAGCTCATCTTTTCCGAAATTATTGGATTGATATTCTGTTCGAATTGAATGTATTCTTTCCATAGAATTTCAATGCCAATGATGGGTGTAAGTACTGCTTTCTGGTACACTCGCCGAACGGCGGTGATTTTTTGATTCTCGGCAAAACTGCCGGCGGCCTCAACTCCACGCAAAAACTGCACATAATCACTCCAAATTGAAAATGAATGCAAATCCATACCAATCTTTTCCAGTGCAAAATCATACGCTTGGGCGAGTTTTTCTCTGTGTTTTCGATGAGAAGGTTGAATGAAGTGAAAATATTAAATTAGCTGGCTCTGGAGTAAAATGTCAGAAATTCAATTATTTTAACTCGATACGTACTTGTGTGTACTCAATCCCGATTTAGTCTCTTTTACGTATGTCAAATACAATTTCCAAAGGTCAATGTTGAGAATTTTGATGAGACACCGCTGAAACAACTGTGGAGAAAGCATTTTTATTTCAGTTGAGTGGAATCTTCTTTGTATTTAAATTATTGTCTATTTAGATTTCATTCGATTGTCTACTGTACCTTTTCCACACGTTCATAGTTTCTTGCCTTCATCTGTAAAACGAAAATCATTTTCTCATCACATTTTTTTGATATTTTCATAAAAAAGAAGAAAAAAAAACGATGAATGACGCATTATTTACGCATCCGATATTGTGAATATCGTCGGTTTAAATTGAATGTCAAAAATAAACTGCGTGCTTACCTCTTGTTCGATGAATATTTTCCAAAAGCGCGCGGTGGTTGGAAATACGGCCACCAATGATTCATACAGCGAACGGACATCGTTTACGGGCCGATTTTGTGCTTCTCTCAAGAGAACCGACCAAGCTTCAACATCATACGGTCGCAATTCCACCGTTTGCTGTGCTCGCACCAGCCGCTCATGTCCCCATTCCTAAAACCGATACATTAAACAAACACCGAAACCAAAATTTCAATATGATTCCAACACATTTTTCGCAAACGTTCCCAATTTCCTTACAATATCGATTTTAATTTGATCCTTAATATTCATGTTGAATTTGCACTTTGATTCGCTCGCACAACAGACAAAATGAAGAAGAAGAAAAAGCAATTCTGCTTCGCCTTTTTTATTTTCTTATGTCAAAAATGTAATTTACAAACAATGCATTTGAGGTTAGGTATACGATTGTCAACGCCGCATCACCTCTAAACTAACACAATACACACAATATTTCGAATTTTGTTTGCGGTTTTGCGGGCTGTTGTTATCATTGAATTTGATTGTTTGCTGTTTGCGTAGGCACCATAAAATCGTTCACACACAATTCGGTACAGGCGGCATTTGTGCTGGTTGTTTGTGACAATTTTCAATGTGAGCCCAGTCAAGGTGAGTGTTTATCGTACGAACAACAAAATGAACTGTCAAAAAATTGACCGAACGAATAGCAACAACAACAACACCAACCAAACACACTCATTCATATGACAGACTAAAATTATTTCGCTCGTTTTTGTTATGAGCCCATACAATTCTTTGCGTTCTGCGAATTCTCCGGCAGTGGTTGTCCACAACGCAATTTACAAATTGTAACCAAACGTGTGTATGTGAAAGAGGCACAGAGAGATTGGAAAAAACACATAAAATAAACAGTTTTATCGCCGTTCAAAAATTCCAAATACAATTCTGCGAATATCGACTTTGGGCGATGCAACAACAATAGCATCTGTGTGTCGTGTAACTTGAGTCAAAGATCAATGATGTTCCGCTTGAGTTATACTGAAACTCGGCTTGTGTGAGCGACGAACGAGAGCGCACCGATTCGCACACATAAAACTGCAGACGGTGCAGAATATCTTCATAACTCAGAACCGTTAATCGTTCTCAACATTCGGAGAGCAATCGTTGGTGATTTCACTTTTGAGGCAGTATTCAAACAACACAGTTCAGTTTTTGAAACACGTGTTTTTCTGGAGATTTTTTCTCAACTCTGTTTTACGAACGAATTTTACTTTTTTTTTATCGCTAAAAATTAACGTATCGAAAGAAAATTTCGCAGATTTTACTGAAATAAATTTTGTGGAAATTAGATCATTGAGCCGCAAAGAATGTCTGATCAACCGAAGGATTTACGAAAATTGTGCATTTTGAATGCAAAAGAATCGGACGATGACGACAAAATTCGTTCGCTGTGCGAAACGTTTGGTCGTGTCATTCATTTCAATCGGCCACCAAGCAAACGGGCATTGGCATTCCCACTTTATCAGAATGAAAGGTAAGGAACATTTTTCTTCAACCATTGTTCATTTGATTTCGTTTTTTTCGAGTGTTTTTTTTATGGGTTTGTTCGGTTCTTGTCATTTTGCTTTTGTACGTTTTTGCAGTGATGCTCAACGCGCAAAAGATGGTCTGTCTGCCGAAGGATATCGTGTTCAATTTGCAAATGCCAAGCGGGGCGACAACTCCAGCGAAGACACTGGTCACCAGAAGCGCAGTGAATTTCGGTCACGACAAAATTTGGCGGAAAATGGGTCTGAAAATGGTTTCGAAGCCGATTCGTCGTCGGACAACCGGTAAGAATAATCAGCATTGATTTTGTTCAATTTTTGCATGCGTTCGACAGCAACAAAACACGTGGATTTTGCATTCAAAAATTGATGTCTATTTTGCTCTTAAATTTTGCTCGCAATTTCATTACTTTCAATGACATGTGCAAACTTGCGATACATTGTGAAATTTGCATTCGCAGCATTTTTCTAAATGGTTTCCTTTCTTAAAAACATTCCCCACCCACTTTTTGTATCTGATTTACCGTCATTTGGTTGCATTTTGTATTGAACACACTCTACGTGTTTGTCATCATGATTTCCGTTGTTATCAACAAGAGAGATTATCTCTACCGATCAAATAACAGCAAACATGAGTTCGATTTGTGAACAAAGACATTTTTTGTTTGTGTTACAGGCCATACGGTGTTTGCATAAAATGCGGTGACAAAGCTTATTACAACTGTGGTCGATGCCGTGAATTTTACTGCTCTGAAGAGTGCCAAGAGAGCGATTGGTTGACACACAAGCCTAACTGTGTCTCGATGCCGTAAGTATTGCCGAGCCAAATTGTCTCTCGTTTGGTTTTTGTATTCCACAAATACGTTGTTCTTTCTCACATTGATAAGCTGAGTAACAATGATGTGATTGTTTTTTTTTTTTGAAAATAAACAGGAAGCTTGTGCCAGCAAAATCGACGTACAGCATTCGTGCAAGCCGCTACAATTTGTCGGATTCGGTTGAAAAGCTTCCCGAAGCAAATCACGTGGTGAAAGGCACAGATGCTGCTGATGGGCGGCCAAATGGTGAATCGTTGCCAATCAAGGTTGAACCAAAAGTTGAACCGTTGCCACAGAAGGCCGAATCGATTGCGTCAGCCAGCAAAAAGGTACCGATTTCGTCCACCGCTTCAGACACGGTTTCCAATTCGGACGATAAGCGTTCGAAAGCCGGAACTCTGATCGAGGAAAATCGCAACACCGAAAAGGTAACTCGTTCACCACGGGCACGACTCTTGGCACAAACAAAAGCTGAGCCGGTGCCGGCACAGGCCACTCCAGCGCAACCGACAAATGGTTTGGTCTCTGATTCGATTCCGGATAATACGGAGGTCTACATCACTCATGTTCGTACACACCGAAGCGTTTACATTCGATCGGCCCTCACCAACGATGAATATGCCAAACTGATTACCGAAGTTGGAGAAACGTCAAAGACACAGCCAAAGTTGACCGTCCACCCAAATAGAAACGACATCGTGATGGCTCCGTTCGATGGCATGTACTATCGTGCAATCGTAATCAGTTGCGACAAAGCCAACGCTATGGTTAAAGTTGGTTTCATTGATTTCGGCAATTCGGACGAGGTGCCATTCAGTCACATCAAGGCGTTGCCTAAACATCTTCAAACACATCGTCGTTTGATTATCCCAGTGGCTCTGAAGGGCATTCACGATGATTACGAAACGAACGAAAAGGACAACATGTCGAAACACTTGGGTGAATTGTGCGATAGTGGCGTTGGACTCCGAGTAAAAGGCGACAACCCGCATATCAATGGTAAAGAATCCGTCGAATTGTTCGATCTCATCACAAACCAATCGGTCAGCGAAGTGCTCAATGCGACGGTACAGAAGCGTTATCGCATCGAAGATATCAAGCAAAAGGTGGTCAAAAATGCATCGGACGTGGAAATCATGATCATTGGGCCGGAACGAATTTGCGAAAATTATGTGACGTGCATTCTGAAGACGGACGTCGACACGTTCATGAACGCCGATAATTTGACGCAAGCGTTTGGTATGTCCGTGAAGAATGCACCGGCATACAAGCCAAAGGTGAAGGAGCTGTGCGTGGTCGAAATCAAGGAACCCGAAGGTAAAATTTGGTATCGTTGCCAATACCAACAGGAGTTGGTCGACGATCATGCCCAGGTGTATTGCTTCGACTACGGCAGAATTGAACGCGTGCGTGCCAACAACATTCGGGTGAGTTTTTATCGGGTCATTTTTGTGTTTGTTCTTTGGTTTTTGCGGAAGAAATCAAAAAGAGAATTTATAATTTCATTTGAATGTTTTCCATCACTAATTCAATATGTGTTTGCTCTTGAAATAGTCGATCACCGAAGATGTGGCTTTCGAAATCACCTCGTTTGTTGGTCTCTTGGAAAATGGTGATAAGATGAGCGTCGAAGAAAAGAATGTCATAATCCAAGACCCGGCAGTGAAGGCCGCATCAATCAAATACGATGGCGATTTGCACCGCATCACATTGGCATAGACGGTCATGCGTGAGCTGGAGAGCATTCAAAATATCAAAACCATTGATTACTCAACATTGACGAATTGAATTCGCTTCCCAAACGAAAGAAAAACAAATATTTAGAATAAATTTTTTTTTCTACACATTTTTTTAACAGACAGATTTTAAGGTCTGGTTCATACCATGGGTAAAATCAAACTCATTACTCATTTAATCATAAACATTTGTTTAGCCCTAAGCAGAACTGAAAGTGAAATTATTGTATTTTGAATACTGAAATAAAATCCAATTTTCTCATTTTGACACATTTTTCGGACATAAAAATAAAAATAAAAATAAAGAAAAAACTAAAAGAAAAGAGCAAATTTTCAGTGTATGTGTACTTGTGTAAAGGAATGTGTGACAGCGAACTGTGAACGCGCTATTACTCACATAGCAACATAAGCGTATCGAAATGTCAAATCTGCCATCTTCATTTTTCAAATTTTCCCAAACGGATTCTACACACAAGCATATGAAAGCGTAGATAAAGGACGCGCGCGAAATTTTTCCAACAATTTTAATTTCTACATTGGGTTGTGCATTGAATCAACAGTATTTGACGATAGAAAAAGCGAAAAAATAGCGACTACGTAAATCGAATGGTGAAGTGAACAATCGCTGAAAATGTACATAAAAAAGTTGATTTTGGATGGTTTTAAATCGTACGGAAAACGAACAGAAATCGATGGTTTTGATAAAGAATTCACAGCTATCACCGGTCTCAATGGCACTGGAAAGTCAAACATATTGGATTCAATTTGTTTTGTACTAGGCATCTCCAATTTGGGCCAGGTAAATATAACCCGCTAACTAATACCGAGTTGCTGTTGACATTTTGAGTCAAATTGTTTGCATTGACATTGCGTTTACTTACAATTGAGCGTCTATTTCGATTGGATTAGGTTCGAGCGACATCGTTGCAAGAGTTAATTTTCAAAAATGGACAGGCTGGCATTACAAAGGCATCGGTCACCATTGTGTTTGATAACACCGATCCCAACAATTGTCCCGTCGGCTATGAAAACTGCAGAGAAATCACAGTTTCGCGGCAAGTTTGTGTCGGCGGCGGTGGCAAAAACAAATACTTCATCAACGGGCGTACGGTGCTAAACAAACGGGTGGTTGACTTGTTCTGCTCCATTCAAATGAATGTGAACAATCCCAACTTTTTGATTATGCAGGGTCGCATCACAAAAGTGCTGAACATGAAACCGATGGAGGTAAATTGATACAACATTCTTTATGTGTCTATGAAACTAAGCGTCTATTTTCGCTATTAGATATTGTCAATGATTGAAGAAGCATCGGGTACCAGTTTGTACGAATCGAAGCGTGAACAAACGACCAAAGTTATTGAGAAAAAGGACTCCAAACTCAAGGAAATGGATTCGGTAAGAAACAACACAATCGAATTTAATTGTCTTTGAATAAAAATGAATGAAATTTTGTTGGATTTTCAGTTGTTACAAGAAGAAATCAATCCACGAATGGAAAAATTGCGTGACGAACAAGCTCAGTATCAGGAATTCCAAAAGTTGAAGCGTGACATTGATCATCTAACCCACATTCACTATTCGTACAAATATCTGCAATACAAGAAGAACCTGGAGCATTGCGAGAAACAGATCGAATCGGTGAACACATTCATTGAAAACAGTAAAAAGGAAATTGAAAATAACATCACTGAAACCGAAACCATCGATGAACAATGCAAAGAGGTGCAAGAGCGAATTGACGCTGAGACTGGCGGCGAATTGGCCGAACTAGAGAAAGAATTGGCGGAAAAGTCAAAAACCGAGGCAACGGCCAATGGTGCGAAGAGAAGTGCAGGCCTGGAGGTCGATGCTGAAAAACGCAAACTGAAATTGATCCAGAAGAATATGTCAAAGGATGAGGAGGCGTTGAAAACGAAGGAGGCAAAAGTTGATAAAGTTGGTGGTTTGTTTCAGAGTTTAAAAGAAGCGGATGAAGCGGACAGCAAGGCCTTCTCCGATGCCCAGAAACGTTTCCAAGCGGTCAGTGCTGGCTTAGACATGAATGAAGATGGTCAGGCCACATCACTTCAGGAGCAATTGACCAGTGAGTATACACAGATTATTTGCCATATTGCGAATCACAGTATTACATTTGAAATTTTCGATTGAACAGCAACCAAAACGAAATTATGCGAGGCAACAACGACAATAAAAAAGTGTGAAATGGACCTAAAATACACGACCAAATTGTTGCAAGACAAGGAAAAAACGCAAACCAAAAGCGATTCATCGTATCAACAAAACAAAAATAATTTGGAAACCAAGGAAAAAGAAGTCAAAACGATCGAGGTATTTTAAAATAGATTCAATTTTGCTTTTCCCTTGAATTACAATTTTTGATTCAATTTAATTAGCAAAAACTGGCCGACATTGACTATGAAGATGGAACATTGGAAGGTTTAGAGAAACAACGTGATACATTGAACAACGAATGTCGCCAGATGCAACAGGAGTTGGATCGAAAAGGTGGTCATCGGTTTGAAGTACAGTACCGTGACCCAGAGCCGAATTTCAATCGACGTGCTGTCAAGGGAATGGTTTGCAAACTGTTTGACGTTAAAGATCCGAAATATTACGTGGCCTTGAGTACGTGTGGTGGTGGTAGTCTTTTCAATCTGGTTGTCGATGATGAGGTCGTGTCGAAAAAGATTTTGGAACGTGGCCAATTGCAAACACGTACCACAATTATTCCAATCACAAAAATCCGTGGCTCGACCATTGAACCGGGCAAAATTAAAACTGCCCAACAATTGGTCGGCCCTGACAATTGCATACCAGCCATGGATTTGATCACCTATGATCCACAGCTAAGAATTGTTATGGAGTATGTTTTTGGCCGGACATTCATTTGCACAAATATGTCAGTTGCCAAACAAGTCACATATCATCAACGCATTCTAACACGGTCAATCACTCTCGATGGCGATGTACTCGAACCAGAGGGTACACTGTCTGGTGGTGCTCAGTCACAGCAAACTCCAGTTCTTGTCCAAGTGGCTGAAATAAAAGATTTTTCCAAACGCTTGGACGCCAAACGGGCTGAACTTCGAAAAATCCAAGAACAAATCGGTAAAATTCAAGGCACCGCCAATCAGTACAATCAACTCAAGCGACAGCTTGAAGCCGCCAACTACGAGTTGGAATCGATTAAACAGTTATTAGCACAAACCACCTATCAAAAGCATCAACAAGAAATCGAAGATGCTCGAGCTAATATCGGTAAATGTTGACTTTTCTATTTATTTTTTCTCAATTTGAACTTTCAAAGAAGATTGAAATTAACAACAACTTCTTTTCTGACGAAAAAAAATATTTTTTCTTAAATGGACTATGCGAATAGAAAATTAATAAAATATAATGACTTTTCGGTGATTTAGAAACGCTGAAAACGACAATCAAAGAGAAAAAAGAGGAGCAAGTGACTTGCAACACCAAAATCAAGGATCTTGAAGCAAATTTGGCTGATGCCAAAGGTTATCGCGATCGTCAGCTCAAAGAGGCTAAAGACAACATGCAAAAGACGAAAGAGAAAGCCGACAAGAGTCGAAAAGAATGGGAAAAGCATGAAAAGGTTTCACTCGTACCTTTTACAACTTCATTTATTTGCGATTCATGTAACTCATTTCTGAATATGAACTTTGTTCACAGGAAGCTGAGACGCTTCGTTTGGAAGTCGAAGAATTGAAGGGAAGCATAGAGAAGGCCAAAGAGGAAATGACTGCTTCTGAAGCGCACATTGAAGAGTTGCAAAAGAAGGTGAGCTATCAAAAATTGAGGCAAAAGAATTGAGACAAAATAGTTTAGCCCAAAATTCGTTTCGAAATTCTCAATTGCTTATATTGTATTGTTGAATTTCATTAATCCACTAGTTGGATGACTTAATGTCAACGAGTGCTGCAGCTTCCAAAGAGATTCAAGATTTAAAACTGCGAATCAAAGAGCAAAAAGATTCGATTTCATCAAAGCACACTGAGCTCAAGAAAGCCATTGCTCGTAAAGATAAACTGCTGAAAAAGAATGACGATCTCCAGCTACAGATAAAGAAGAAGGAATCAGAATTGTCAAAGATTAAAAGCGACAACAAAGACGGCTATGATCGTATTCGTGCAATGGAAGAGCAGCACAAATGGATCGAAACCGATCGAGATTACTTTGGTGCCAAGAACACCAAATACGATTACAGCCGAGAGAATCCAGAAGAGTCGGGTGAAAAATTGCGTAAGGCACATGAACAGTACAATAAAATGAAGAAACGTATCAATGAGAAGGCCATGATGTTGCTGGAGCGTGAAGAAGAGGAGCTGAAAAGTGTGTGCGACCGCAAAGGTATCGTTGAAAATGATCGAAAGAAAATCAAGGGCATTCTGAAGGGTCTGGATGCTGAAAAGATGGAACTGCTCCGCAAAGCATGGCAAGAGGTGGACAAAAATTTCGGCAGTATTTTCAGTGTTTTGTTGCCTGGAGCACAAGCCACATTGGTGCCATCGCCAGATATGGAATTCTACCAGGGTTTGAACATCCGTGTTGGATTCAACGGCGTGTGGAAGGAATCACTCACCGAGCTCAGTGGTGGTCAACGTTCACTTGTCGCGTTGTCACTCATTTTGGCGATGTTAAAGTACAAACCAGCGCCCATTTACATTCTGGACGAAGTCGACGCCGCTCTCGATATGTCACACACACAGAATATCGGTCGCATGTTGAAAATGCACTTCACAAATTCACAGGTAAATAGCTTCTTTAGGTCCAAGGATTGAGTTATTTGATGGGAAATTGTTTTTCCTTTGATGAAACTAATCGATTGTGTTTTCATTTACAGTTCATCATCGTCTCGCTGAAAGATGGTATGTTCAACAATGCCAACGTCATTTTCAAGACAAAGTTTGAGAACGGCGTGTCAGGAGTGATTCGAACACAGAACATGCGTAATAGATAAGCACCATCTCCGGCCAATTGTCACACCATCTCAATTCACAAATAAATTCAATAATTTTCTGATTAATTTTTTTGCCATTTATTATAACTTATAACTGTTTGTTTTTTTTTTGAAAGATTCATTGTTTGACAAATCCAAACGACATACATAAAACGAACAAGCAAACCGAAGGATAAGGCCCAAAACAATTGGTTGCTTTTTCTACACAATTTCGATTTTCAGTTTTATTGAAAGAGTGAAATGAATTATTTAAAACTAAAATGAATAATAAATTTGAGTCTTACAAACAAACAAAGAGACAGAAACGAAAAAGATTCCTTTTAAAAAGTGAATTTGGAAGCAAAAATCTCATTATATTTTTTTTCTGTTGTTTTTTTTTTCCTTACAAGCTAAAAATGTGTGAGTTTTTATAAACTAGACAAAGTCAAAGTTTCCGCCATCATCAAAGTTCATTTCGCGTTTGATGTCAACATTGAAGAACGTTTCATTTAGACCGTGTACGGATTGTGCGTTAGCATTTCCGTTGCCACCGTTTACAACGGTTTGTATTTGGGGCCCGGCATTTGGTAGACTATTACTGATTATTTGTTGTGCTTGTGTCTGTTGCTGTGGATGTGGATGCATCGATGGTATGGGCGCCATACTGAGATTGTTTGATGTATGATCGGTGACAATTTGTTGTGCGAATTTCTGTGTAAATTCGGACGGCGGCAGACCCAATTCTTTTTCAATTTTATACAGCTCCAAATCCATTTTGTAACACTTTCGATTGTGTTTCTCCGCGTAGGCGGACATTTTCGTTTTGATGAATTGATTTTTTAGCTGGAGCGCCTGTTGTTTGTATTGAGTGAGGGGCGCATCATGGTTGAACACACTCGGTACAGTGGTCGGTGATGATTGTTGATGTGTTGGCTCGGTGAAACAATGACCGTTTTCTAAACGATTGCTTTTGTTTGACGTATTATTATTCGACGCAAAATGTGCATCTCTCGACGTGTCCGTATCATTTCTTTCTGGAAGGATGTTGTCAATTTCTTCTAAAACTATGTTGTCTTGTCGCAAATCTAATTGGAATATGAGACCGATGCCATTAGAAAATTTGACCGTTCAATTAGATGGAGCAATGGACAATGGACATGTAGGTTTGTTATCATTACCTTTTAGTTTTTCTATGTAGCCGGGCAATGTACGCAGTGTTGGTATTCGAATCGATGAATTTGAATTGGATCCAAATTCATTCCAATCGTCTTTGATTATATCAAACATGATTTTGTCTGCTTCATCATATCGAACCATTCGTGTGCCTGTGCTGAAACTTTCCCATTTAGTCTGTGTGTGTGTGTAAGTGTGTGTGTTTGTTTGAAACGAAACAAAATCATGGTTTATATGTCATTGGATTGAAATTGGCGGCAAACGAATTTGGTAGCAATGAAAAGAAATGCATTTTTATACTTACAACAACATCATCTACATTTGCGATCCATATTTCGTAGTAAAAATCCAGCCAAGTTTTGTTCAATGGATATAGACCTTTACTTTGGGCTTTTTTCAGCACCAATTCCCAACCATCACTCTTCTTCTCGAAATCGGATGGTTTTGTGTTCCGAATCAGGGTGAGTAATTGAATCTTCTTCGGTATGAACGGTGTCAGCACGGTATCATCTGTCAAATGGAATTTTTTTTCTCAATTGAAACACACAACGACAAAATGACAAAAAAAATTGGTTGAAATGGTGAATTTAATACCGAATATTCCGGCTCAGATGCAAGGTCGCCGAAAATGTGATCGTATATTATGTATTTACAAACAAAAAAACGCTTGCTTTAGTGTTGTCTGATGCTCAAATGTGTTATGGTTACTTGTTTACGCTTTTGCCATTACTAAAACTAAAGCCATTTTCAATCGTTCTCTCCCTCTCTCTCTCGAGTGTGTGAGTGTGAATGTGTTCGCTAATTCATTCATTTCGTTCGCTTGTATGTATGACGTTTCGCTAGCTGTCAGTGGTCTGTGCGACGCCATTTTTGAGCTTTGAGTATGTACTTTCATTGAGAGCAATTTCTGGCCATTCGAACTAAAGTGTTTTATTTCGATGGTATTTATAAAATTAATTTTCTTGTGTATTTCAAACAGACGTATTTCAATTAAAGTATTCCGACTTTCCAAACAAAAACACACATATCTCGGTGGGAAAATTTGATACAACAATTTCGATGTGATTCAATTTGAATCGAAAGAAAAAGTGAAACCGATTAAAAAAGACGAACGCATCGCAATTTTGTCGACCGTGGTCATTTTTCTTTCGTTCTACATGCTGTGAGGCTTGATACCGCCATTGAATGAATATGGAAATGAATACTAGTTTGAATCGAAGTCTCACCAATTCACAAATATATGACGGCGAATTTTTTGAAGTGGTTGCAAACGAAGGCGATATTTTAGTGGTTCGGTAAGTCAGAAAAATAAAAAATAAAAATAAATTTCATATTTAGCGTGGGTATTTTCAAATGTATATGCGATAATTACAGATGCAACATATGCACACCCGACGGCACTGACGGTCAACTACTGAGAACGTCGGTTAAATCAAACGGCAATATCTTGAAGCACATCAAGGTAATTATTGTGTCAATTGATTGATATTGCAATTTAGTTTTCCCCAAAAAAAAACTTAATAATTCATTTGTCTTCATGTTTATTTTCTTAATCCATTAGCGGCGACATTCTGATTTGTTGGAAAAAATCAAATCGGCAAAGAGTGTAAAATCGCGTGCACCCAGAGCCATTAAACGCGATCCGGGCATGGATGAAATTAAGTCGTACAAGAAGAAAGTGGTGAGTTTGCTTTGAACCATTCGTTATGTGCTGAGAAAAGTCGATTGTTTGTAATGTTTGACCAATTGTTGTATACTCTTCCATGGAAATAGGTGCAAGTGAAGATAAAGAAGACGGAAGATGAAGAGGAAGAGGGTGAAACACAGGTGTACATCACAAATGATGATCAGGATTCGTACAACACTGGAAATGAGATGTATGTCATTGAACCATGTGAATCGACCGAATCCGATGGTGAAGAGTACATGGAGTTTGAGTTGGAACACAGTAAAGTCGACGAAAGAAGCATTGAATCGATCGAAGAGAGTGGTTCGTTGATCAATCAAGAATATGAATACATCCGAAAGCCACCGACCAAGAGATTACGTGAATCGAATACGTATGAAGGATCATCACCATCATATAAGCGGACGCCAGTCGATCGTTCGCTTATTGAATTCCAGAAGAAACTCATGCAAATGGAATTTGACGATATAAAAAAGCTTCGCCACGAAAAACACCAGCTAGAAATAGCGATTCTTAAGGCTGAACTCACCAACAAAACATTGGAACATCAGAAACAGATGGAACTATTGAACAAAAAACTGCTACATGAGTAGATAGAATTATCGAAAATCGATTGGACGAACTAAGAATGCTTTTTAACTAACACAAACACACACACACACACACACACACAAATTTTTTTTAAACCCATTCTCTTTGAATACCCTTGAATCGGCGAACTGAACGTATTTCTCGTTAAATTGTAAGAATAAAGAATAAATTTGTGTTTTTCTTCCTTCTGGGGAATTGGTTTGTTGTATATTTTTTTCACTCACTTGCATCCAAATTGGCCGCAGACAGTGAAGCGGCACGCACCGGCTTGATGTCGGGGAAATCAGAATTATTTGTGACATTCGCATTGTTTGTGCTGTCCAATGATGCATTGGATGCATTCGGAGTTGATGTGGCCGACGCTGAATTGTTTGCATCGATATTTATTCGCGGCCGATGGCCAGGGAAATGGCTAATAATGTAGTCCATCTCGTTGTAGTACAACCAATACGGACGCTGTTCACCGTTCATTTGAGCGCGCTTTATTTCAAAATATTTTCCCTTCAAATTTTCATATCTGCGAAAAAAAAGAAAAACAATCAGCCCACCAAAATAACTAATTCGGAATAAATGCGGTGCATACTTTTTGTAGCACTGTCGTGTGCTTTTAGCGAATTTCGGAAATTTCAGCTTCATACATTTGAAAATGTAATTCCAAACGAATGCATGCGATTGTTTGTTGTCTTTAAACATAGATAAGGTCTTTGGATTCATCAGAATTTTCAACAAATGTCTGGTCTCTACGACGGTAAACACTTTTGTTGATGTTTGTTGTTGTTCCTGTGGTTGTTGTGCTTGTGCATCCATGATGGGAGAGAGATCCACTAAAGTATTCACAGTATTACAATCACTCAAAACAAATCGAAAACGTAGCGAAACTACTGTTTACACGATTGAAATGTGTCTCATTCAATCTTCAATGGCCCAACAATAAAACTCCCGAAATAGCAAAAACGGAATTTAGAGAGAGAAAAAACAGCGACGATAAATAAATAAAACACTTTTGCGAAATTTGCACACACACACTTTGTGTTCAGCGGATCTCGGTAGACACCGAGTAGCGTAGGTAAATATAGAATGTCACTAAACGAAGTAAGTAGCCTAGTACTTAGTCGTGACAGGTTCCTTACATATATGCACCGGATGCGTTTAATGATGCAGATAAATTCGTTCCAAAATTATCTTTTGTTTTAAATCGTTTCGAAATTAATTCGGTGGATTTTCATGCAAAAAAATGGGTGGAAAAAAATAGTAAATATGATCAAGGCATACTTGGATCATCTACAAGCCAAATGTTCGACATCTTGTTGTAATGTGTTTGATGCGGGCGAATTCCTAATACTTGGGACCTAGTTCAAGGTAGCTCTCGTTCATCAAACAAGATTCATACTCTGAGATGACGTTAAATTTGATTTAGTTTTGATGGTGTTGCTGTTGCAAAAATTTTCGATGAAATTAGGCGGCAAATTGATACCCTCATTTTCGTGTAATTTATACAGCTTTATACGACGGCTTTCAAAGCCAATGTGCATGTAGCTGCGAAGAAACAACAAAAAAATCGTTATCGGCCATACAAACACACACCCAACACACGTATAAGCCACAAAACGTACACAATTCCGGATTGCGAGCTGAAAGAGAGCGAGAGCGAGAGCCTTCGGTTGTTCCATTGACTGCATACATTGTTGGACATGAGATGTATTGTTTATTATTACGCATGTGTCAAAGAAAATCGGTAAATTGGTTCCGTTTTTGACAGCATGAAGTCGCTGCTTACATACCAATTCACTCACAAAACATCAAAATGTCTCTCGCACACCAACTCAATCCCATTATTGTTGTGTATCTTTCGAGAATTTCGTTCATTGTGTACGGAGCGAGAGGAAGAGAGTGTGAGTGTGTGTTGACGATTCGACCAATGTCAATTTTCTATTTAAGCAACATACATTCACAGGGCATAAAGCATAAATACTAACACACGCATACACACGGATTCTCTCTCTTTCTCATCGACGATGATACAGCGCACAAGTAGTCATCGCTGAGTGTTCGTTTCGTAGTGTTGTAGCTCCAAAGAATCTTTTTTTTTAGTTGGAGTTGAAAGGAAAAGCACAAAAGTTGTGTATGTGGAAAACAAGAGTGCGATACACAGAGAGAGAGAGAGAGAAAAAAAAATATATCAAAAATTCAATACGAATTCTTTTTGATTTGGTGTGTTAATGCAATTGAATTTTTTCATTTCATTTTAACTCACTGCATATCATTTCGGGTTCGAACACGAAATCGCATCCAAAGTGTCATCTCAATGTGATTAGATATCATAAGAAAGTTTCTCGATTTTTCTCATATATCGCGAAATTAATTGATTTCTTTTTCGTTGTGTGTCGATTTGTTTGAGTCATTGCGTTTCGGTGGCGTTTTTTTCGTAGTTCATTGCACAGTAGAAGAAGAAGAAGAAGAAGAAGAATACCAAGAAAAAATTTAAGAAAAAGAAGAAAAAAAAAATCCAACTGCTAATCATCCAATAATATTCATTACTTTTCATTGTAAATATAGGAAACAAAAGCAATAAATCAAGGAAATGAAAATTTGAGTGATGCACACGGCATAGGCAAATAAAATCGACGAAAAATAAGAGGAGAAGCTGCAACACACACCGAGAGAGAAAAAAAAATTAGACGAAACAACGATTAAAAAAGAAAATAGTTAATACGGGGCAACAACAAAAAAAACGTTGTTGTTGCAACACAGCACAGCACAGCAGAATAGATAAGAAGAGAGAGAAAAAATTGGAAAAAGTGTGTGTGTGCTGAAATTGTGTTTATTTAGTGAAATCGAACGGATAAAAATCAAGCTCGACAGAAAATGTCGGGTAACCAGGGAATGGAATCGTTGATTCCAATTGTGAATAAGCTACAAGATGCATTCACACAATTGGGCGTGCATATGCAATTGGATTTGCCACAAATTGCTGTGGTCGGAAGTCAAAGTGCTGGAAAATCATCCGTGCTGGAAAACTTTGTCGGAAAGTAAGTAATCAACACGAAGTTGTAGAAGAAGAAAAAAAAACAGCAACAATTGAGTCAGTGCTCCAATTCTTTTTTTCTCGTGGTTTTTTTTTGTTCTGTAAAAAATCAATTATGCGTCACGATTCGCAACGCCCAATAGATGCAAGTGTCTTCAATTGCCAATGACATGATATTGGTGGAATTATATCGTTTGTTAAAAATTCTTCTGCTGGAAATCAATCCGTCAGAGCATTTTATTTTGGCCAGTGGTTGTCGGTTCAGTCAGTTGGAACGCCAAGTCCCAAGTAAATCCCATCATCAGGTAGTTGAACGAAACGGTTGATTTGATTGGCACATAAAAAGAGTTCACTATGTCGAAGAAGCAGCGAAAAAGATGAAGAAGAAGTCATCGTCGTTGTTGAAAAAATCGTTAAAACGTCATTCAAACTGTCGTATTTGACATAACACACAGAATATACCAGCGAAGTGGCAAGCGCATGAAAGTAGAGGAAGAAGCGAAATAAAATATGAAAGAAGAAATAGAAGAAAACGAAGAGCAATCCAATCCAATTCGATTCTGTTCTATCTTCCGCTCGCTCTGCTCTCTCTTCTCATCCTATATACCAGGGCTGAGTGTGTGTGTGTGTGTGTGTTCGCATCAGCAAAACTTGGTGAATGATGGCAAAGAGAATGGTAAATGTAACATTTACATGTCTCACATTCCGTCGTGAGTTGGAGGACAAGAGAATATTTCTTGTTTTCGTGTTGGGCATGTGTATGTTTGTATGTATTTGTGTATGATTACCAACCCTGGAGCCTTTTCTGCTCCACACTTTCTTTTGTTTCGATCGAAACACAACATGTACGTACGTACACACAGTAAACCACCCATTCCACATAGACAGTCACAAGGTTATGTATCACAACAATATTCAATCGAAAAACAACTGTGCGCGCATCCATGAATCTCCACTTTTCATACATACACTCATACACACACTGTTCGCACACCGAATTCGGTCGTGTGCTGCTGCATGCTTGCTGCTTTTTTTGGTCAATCCACAGCAAATAAACCGATAATTTTAAGGGAAAAACATGTTCACAACAAATCCATTGGAGAAGCGGAACAGAAAAACTTGAATCAAATTCACGCAGACACCCAAATTGGTGGATACCACCACAATTCACTTATTGGCTTCCTTCTCTCTCTCTCTCTCTCTCAAAATCTGTAGAAAAAATGTTGCGATGAATGAAAAGTTTGCGACACCAATACAAGTGACGCAAACATATTTTCGGTTACATTGGGACCTGTTTACTCTTCACTCACGATTGCTTGCTCTCTTTTATACGTGCGCCCTCTCCATGTGTTCCAGCGTTGCGTTACAAAAACGTAAGTGTTTGCTGGAGAAAACCGTCGTATGAATAATCAATAATTGAACATACAACCTACAAAGAACATATAAATACATGCTCTCGTTTCGTTATTCATAACAATCGACATCGCTGCAAAATTATCAGTGGCACCAACGAAAAGTGAATGATACACAGATAATGACTGTGTCAACGAGATTAAATTAAAAATGATTCATCGCATGGGTGCGAGAATCATGGTGCAATTAGAGAGTGTGAGAAATTCCATTTTACATTGGCTCCAGTTTGATTCATTACCAAACACAAACACAAAACGACACAAAACTGAAAAACCCAGTGTACATTCCAATGTTCCATATTTGGATTGTCACTGAATGATTATGCATCTCTTGTCTTTGCCCGATAATGAACCAGATAACTCAATAGATAATGAAATCAGCCAAATTGAATATCTTATGTGAAATCAGAGAAAAATGCTTCAATCTCTTTACCAATTGTCATAATTGGCTCCACACACACACACACACACACAAACTGACGACCAAATGATAAACGAAACTCCTCTAAATCGCAATCGATTATTTTTCGGCAAATGTTATTGGTTTTTTTTCTCTTAGTAATGTGTATTAGCTCACGATATCTAATTAAATTAGAATATGGCTAAGGCAGGCCACTCGACTCTCCGCAATTTGAAAAATCAAATCGGCCAAACAAAAGAAGACAATAAAGTGTTATTAAAACAAACACGAAACGGATTGGCCCCACTGACAAATGTATTGTCGCAGCCGTTTTCAATTGTTTTCAATTTAATTAATAGCAATAACATGTCGCGCGCATTTTGTGTGTACAAGGCGAACGACTCTCGCACAGTTTTAAATATCAGAGGGAGAGATATTTACACTTTGTGCAAGTATCTGATCATCACTTTTTTTTTCTCTCCAGTTGATTGTTTGCCATTGTGTGCCACACTAGCGTTTTTTTCTCAACAAACACAAACAAGTGCTCAGAGTCTCGACAAATTGGCTGTGCGTTTGACATTCGTTTGTTATTTTTGCCGTTTGTATTGGAATAATTTTAGTTTTCTGTATTTCATTTTTCTCCATCATTGTTCATCTGCGTTGTGCATGTGGTTGGAATTGACGATGCTTCGTTTTTCGTCTCTGTCAAATGTCTGGTGACCCGACCCAGTGTCGTGAGTGTAACGCATGGTTATACTGCCATAAAACATTTAACGTATAATTTTTGAAATAATTCTTTTTTCGCGTTCGTCGTTCCTATTGATTTAATTCGTCACGAAACCGGTCGCAAAGATATTCGGTTTTTTTGGTTGTATTGGTTTATGTACAGTCATGGACAAAATTGAGCGTACGCCTATAAATTTGTGTTTTATTTTTTCCAGTAACTTTTCATCTCAAATGTAATATATCAATGGGAAGTACATGAAAAATGAATAACATTGGGAATTTTGAACATCAAAATTGGCCGGCCAATAGGCGGCTTATGGCCCTCGGTAAAAACGGCCAAAAATTCCCCAGCCGTTCGATTTAAAAAGTTTAAATGCAGTTTCGAAGGCCTTCAGGAGCAGATGCTTTTAAACGCTGAAAACTTTCTGATTGGTTTCAATTTGGCCAAGTTATGGACGTTGGAAAAATGGCCGATTTTTTTCGAAAAATTAAACCAAGCGTTTGATTGCGAAATGTCATATGTCGTTGGAAAGCCCATTTAATGAAGATAATTTTAAAGTATAAAACATAGAAATCGGTTACAATTTAACCAAGTTATAGGCGTACGAAAATTTTCGTCAAAATTTTTTTGGGTTTTCCAACGGCCATAACTTGCCCAAATTGAAGGCGATCCGAAAGTTTTCAGCGTTTAAAAGTATCTGCTCCTGAAGGCCTTCAAAACTGCATTTAAACTTTTCAAATCGAACGGCTGGAGAAAAAGTTGAATTTTTGGCCATTTTTACCGAGAGCCATAAGCCGCCTATTAGCCGGCCAATTTAGATGTTCAAAATTGCCAATATTATTGATTTTTTATGTACTTCCCATTGATATATTACATTTGAGATGAAAAGTTACTGGAAAAAATAAAACACAAAATTTATAGGCGTACGCTCAATTTTGTCCATGACTGTATGTTTACAAACCATTTCGTTTATGCGATCGTTTGACGCTTACCGTAAACAATTTAGACAGCGTTTCAAAAGAAAAAGAGCGAACAAGAGTATGGGATAAGATAAAACACATAGGTGCGATTAGGCATGAGTCATGAACAAGAATTCGATTGAAGCAAAAAAAAAATCATACAATTGGCGAAATTCGGTCGAAACAATCGAGCGAGTTCATTCATGACATATTTAACCCAATGGCTATAAGTGCTGTTACGAAACCTTTGAATGAGTTCAAACAGCATGAATTTTCAAAAAGAACACATTTCACGTCTCGAGAGAGAGAGAGAGAGAGAGAGAGAGAGAGAGAGAGAGAGAGAGAGAGAGAGAGAGAGAGAGAGAGAGAGAGAGAGAGAGAGAGAGAGAGAAAGAAAGAAAGAAAGAAGAAAAAAGTTCCTTAAGCGATCGATTGCTCTAATTTTCCAAGCGTTCAAAATTCATACCATCCGCTCTTTCACAGCGATCGATTCTCAGTTTGCATTCAAACTGGATTCGTGCTGCTGCTGTTGCTGCCTGCATGAGTTTTGTGCTATTTTCCGTATGTGTCCTGGTTTTAAATTCATTGCATATCACGTCAGCCCACCCCGTTCCATTCGGCTCTTCGGGAAAAAGAAAAACAGAACGGTAAAAGCATGCACCACTGAAAATTCGTTACGCAATTGGAGAATATTCTGTGCATGTATTTTGCATTCGATGTCCATGTCCAATCAACGAACGAATGAATGAACGAAAATAATTGCCAATCATATGGAATGCCAATCGCCGCATACATCTATTTACGATTGTGATTGCGTATAGAACATTTGAAACTTGTCACAATCATTCGGCCGACACACACTTAGACACAGTATTCCGCCCAGTTATGCAATGTTGATATACTTCTTCTTCTTTTTTTCGATCTGTGTCAAATTTTGTTCACCAAAAATGGTTCACATACGCGTCAATCGGTTTTCCGTGGAACGATGTTCTCAACATGTGATTCATGGCATTTTGACATGTTAATTCCAGTTGACCTGGACGCCGATGAGTAATAAACAAACTAATTGCCTGGTTGGGCAAATCCAGCTGAGTGAAAAAACTATATTTGCAATGCATCGCACAATGTGAACAATGCAACCCTTTTGAGAAGAGAAATATATATAAATATCTCATTGCAATCAATTGAATTGAACTAAACGTGTTGAATTGAACGGTTTGTTTTAAATTAAATGCAAATGGAATAAAAAAGAAACACATCATGCGCAACTATACCACATGTAGGTTCAATTAAATTCTCATTGCTCGCATCACCGCATCAATTTAGCGAAACAAACTCAGGCGACCGACTGCCATATGATAACGTATATATAGTCATTCCGACATAAATAATAATGACTTGGGTAAAAATTACACAGAAAATATTTAAAAAAAACAATGACAAAGTGTGTGCAGCTTCCGATGATGATAAGCCAACCGTCGATGATCTTGTTTTTTTTACGTTGGAACAAAAAGGCAACGGAACGAGAGTTAAATTTGAAATAAAGGGGGAAATTATCCACTCTATTCCATTCGAGCGTTTGCTATTGACATTGTTTCATGCGTTTGCTTTGTTCGTTTTTTTCTAGCATTCCGTTCCAATACCCGATTATCTCTGTCTATGTTTTTATGATATACACAATTCTAGAAAGATGGGAAATTAACACGACGAACACAGCAAAAAAATACCCCATATTACTGGCTGCTTGTTGTTTTTATCTGTGATTTAATAATGTGAAAAGCATCTTTTGATGTTGGATTATATAGATAGAAAACCATAAACAGTTTTCGGTTGTTCTCCTGCAAAATACTTGAGCGCTGATGTGCGCGTTCATTGCGTTTCATTTTTCAGCCGATTGTATCTGTTCAAATTGCATTAAGATATCAAATGAACGTTGAAACTAACACACACACAAACGCTGTCTCTATTCGTTTTATTGCGGAATAATGAGCGAGAAATTAATTTTAAAACTATGTCTGTTCACGATAAAAACAATTCGTCCCATCAAAACTCGTGTAGTCTCGACAAAGCCAGGCAATAGATAGAGATAAAAATGCTGAACAGAAAGCAACAAAAAAAACATACCGACACAACCTCCATTGTGTTGTAGCTGCTTTCTTTGCGTAAACGCGGAAACAAATACACAGTATCTAGCATTACTTGAAATATGAATCATTTGCGTTCGGAGCAAACATTTTCATTTGGTGTAATACTGTCTCTGACTCTCTTGGCTACAAATTAATGTTATTTACCGATAGTAGGAGTTCTGTTTTCTTTTCGTGTGTACTTGACGTCACCATCGACATTTCGAATGAATAAATATTTCATTCTATCTGTGCGCGCCGATGGGAAAACCAAACTTGTTATGTGTCGTTTGGTTTTTTAATGACAATTGACTTTTCCAGAAGATCCAATCTTCGAACGATGTCAAACCCACCATGATACCAATGCTCAACAGCTTAATAAGTTGAAGAAGTTTTCGATTTTTGCGTGGGAATTTGATTGCAAGCAACCTATGAAATATGAGGGTATATTTTGCGTGAGATCGATTAATGTAGGCAATGTTTCATTTAATCCAAGGTCAATGTTTAAGCATTCAAGTGGAAAGATGTGATTTTGTTTGATCAAAATGACATCAATACATTTTTTTTGTTTTTTTCTTCTTGTTTCAAGCATGGAGCTTTAGGGCTCGAAATATTAAAAATGACGAAGCAAAGTATTTTCAGCCGAAAAATCAACAAACAAATGATTTTATAAGCTCTTACGCTTCATAAGTTCCATTCATTCATAAGTATGACGAGCGAAAATGTTGTAAATATTTGAATGAAATTCAAATTAAGTTCAATTTTTTATTGTTGGTATGCCATTCGACACAGCGATTTAATCAGAATTAAGTGTGTGAACCATTTTATCAGTTTTATAATGAGATTTAACTTATTTACTTCTTATTCGGATACAAAAACGATAACAGTTATCAACTTGGAATTTCCCTTCTAACCGATAATTGAGAGAAAAACTGAAAGAAATTCACTTTCTTTTACTATAAAGTTGTTGCGCGATGAGATAAATACAAAGATTATTTTTTGTTTATTCCATTGTTCTAATTCAATTTACTTAAATGTTTTCAGAGATTTTTTGCCACGAGGTTCAGGTATTGTGACTCGGCGACCCTTGATTCTTCAGCTTATCAATGGGCCAGCAGGTAATCTAGTGAATTTCATTCACTTTATTTGTTCACGTAATTTCTAAACGGTTTTTTCTTTTAATTCAAAATAGAATTTGGTGAATTCTTGCATTGCAAGGGTAAAAAGTTCGTGGATTTCAATGAAATTCGGATGGAAATTGAGGCGGAAACGGATCGAATAACGGGCAGTAACAAAGGAATCTCAAACATTCCCATCAATTTGCGCGTTTATTCGCCAAATGTATTGAATTTGACATTGATCGATTTGCCGGGTTTGACGAAGGTGCCAGTTGGCGATCAGCCGGCCGATATTGAGTCGCAAATCCGTGGGATGATTTTGCAATTCATCAAAAAAGAGACCTGCCTCATTTTGGCCGTTACACCAGCCAACACCGATTTGGCCAATTCGGATGCGCTGAAACTGGCCAAAGAGACCGATCCGCAAGGTATTCGCACAATTGGTGTGATTACAAAATTAGATTTGATGGACGAAGGCACCGATGCACGTGATATATTGGAAAATAAATTGTTACCATTGCGTCGGGGCTACATCGGTGTAGTGAATCGCTCACAAAAAGACATTGAAGGCCGCAAAGACATTACAATAGCACTGAAAGCGGAACGTGATTTCTTTTTGAGTCATGACTCGTATCGCCACATAGCCGATCGCTTGGGCACACCATACTTGCAACGGATTTTAAATCAACAGCTAACCAATCACATTCGTGACACGCTGCCCGGTTTGCGTGACAAACTGCAAAAGCAAATGCTCTCACTCGAAAAAGAAGTCGAACAATTCAAACACTTTCGGCCAGATGACCCAAGTATTAAAACAAAGGCTATGTTGCAGTACGTATAACTGTTTACTATCTTATGATGGCACACATCAAACCAATTCAAACGATTAATTGATCGATTTGACGTTATATTCTAGGATGATCCAACAATTGCAATCCGATTTCGAGCGCACCATCGAAGGAAGTGGCTCAGCACTTGTCAATACAAACGAACTATCAGGTGGTGCTAAAATTAACCGCATATTCCATGAACGGTATGTATCTCTGTGGTTGAAAACAATCCATTTGCACCCAAAACTCGATCTAATTTGGATTTTGGTGTTTCAGTTTACGCTTCGAAATCGTTAAGATGTCTTGTGATGAGAAAGAGCTGCGACGTGAGATTTCCTTTGCCATTCGTAACATTCACGGTATTCGTGTTGGTCTATTCACACCAGATATGGCCTTTGAAGCTATAGTGAAAAAGCAAATATCACAACTCAAAGAGCCCATTCTGAAATGTATTGATTTGGTGGTGCAAGAATTGTCTCATGTCGTTCGCTTGTGCACTGAAAAGGTAAGACATGTAACCGGCTGCATTTGGCATCGTGACAAAATTACATTAAATATTCAGGAATTGAATGAAACCGACGAAATGGAAATAATAACTGGTTTTTCATTGTACCATTTCAGATGTCGAGATATCCAAATTTGCGTGAAGTCACGGAAGGTATTATCACCTCTTATATCCGCCAAAGAGAGCAGTTATCCAAAGAACAAATTCTTTTGCTCATCGATTTTGAATTAGCCTACATGAATACCAACCACGAGGATTTCATTGGATTTGCTAAGTAAGTGAAGTGAATGCTGGAATTACACCACCATATCAACTAACACCATTCTAATCGAATCGTCATTTGGCGTTTTTGTTTTGTTTCCGCAGTGCTCAGAATAAATCCGATAACAATCCAAGTAAATCTGGCACACGAACATTGGGCAATCAAGTTATTCGCAAAGGAAATCTGTGCATTCAAAATTTGGGCATTATGAAAGGTAAAGTGGAACGGAAATTAGAAGAAATCAAATTCGATTCACGATTTATTTAAATTTCTTTGCTTATTTTTTTCATTTTGTGTTGTATTTATGGGATTTTGTTTCGAAAAGTTGTGTGGCATTTTCTAAGACAATTAAGACATTTCCATTTCGGTTCGTAGTATTTGAATTTTTAAATCCACTCAATCTATCTCTTCACATTTGATTAACGCAAATTTTTATTGCCTGGTCCACCTAATTTTGATTTCTGTTAACGCACAACGACCTCGACTTCTTTTCGAAACTTCTCTCCGATCGGACAATACCGATTTTTATGGGATGAAAATTTAAATTTTATGAAGATGAATGCTGCATTGCATGCAACCCCAACATATAAACACCATTCCCACTTGGTCAATTGTTTAATTCAAGTGTTTTGTTTTTTCACATTTGATAAAATACAGGCGGTTCACGGCCATACTGGTTCGTTTTGACATCGGAGAGCATATCTTGGTACAAGGATGAAGATGAAAAGGAGAAAAAATTCATGTTACCATTGGATGGATTGAAGCTACGTGACATTGAACAGGGATTCATGTCACGCAAACACACATTCGCCCTGTTCAATCCGGACGGTCGGAATGTGTACAAAGATTATAAGCAGTTGGAATTATCGTGCGAAAGTGTTGATGACGTTGACTCATGGAAGGCATCATTCTTGCGTGCTGGTGTTTATCCAGAAAAAGATCAACAGGCAAACAACGGGGAAGATGTAAGTATTTGGTTTTTCTACCACCTTGTTTCAATCTTTCTTCTGCACTCTTTTTGAATTTAAGCGTAAAAAAGAAATGGAGAAATTTTGCTTCAAGGTTCATTATTATCCTAATTCTATCGTCGATTTTACCATTGTTTTTTGTTTTTATTCGCAAAAACAAAAAAATCGAAACGATATTAAATATACTGATTTAAATTAAACTTTTTTCAATGCTCGCTCTATCGAAACTCAATCCAAATAAATGCTCTGTTAATCGGCGTACGAAATAATAGCAGAACGAAGGAGTACAGGTTTGTTTATAGTGTTCATTTTGTTTTTCATTTGTTCCAAGCTTTTTTGAGAGTGTTTTATTCAATCGGGTTTTCCACTCCTTTTTTTAATCAAACTTTTTCCTTTTAAATTGGGTATTAACACCAGTCTATATTGATATCGACTAATGAGTTTTGACACACTTCTGTATTTTGTCCCCGTTTGAATTTTAGACATTAGTTACGTTTGAACATTTATATACTTTTCCAACACACGGGAAATTCTCTATTTCCCATCAAGTGACGTTACGTTTGCTAGTTTCAATCAGAGCATCCAATCTTCAATATTTTGTAGTTGGGATGATAACGAAACAATTTTAAACTTGCCACACACCAATTCACACAGAACCTTAAAACAGTAAAAATCACACTCACACAACCAACACACAGACAGACTTTTTTTTCAGGAAATTACTTTGTGGATAGAGTTTTAAGTTTAAGCTTCTTGAAATTTTATCGACCTTTTTTTATACTTAAAAACTAGTGGTTTTAAACTACATAGTTGTCACTGACAACCTGACGCATTTCTGAAAACTCTTTTCGACTTAAAAGTTTGCATGCCTTTCATAGACATTTTTTGGGAAAATAAATGCACAAAATTTTATCAAAAGCACATTAAAAGATTTCGGAAATTTTGTGCATGTAAACCGTCTGGGAATCTCACTAATCTGGAAGAAAAAACAAAAATTAATCGACTGTATTCGTCAAATGGCCCTAACACTTACCGCAAAACAATTTTGTCTTTTTTCTATTTCTCACCATATTTTGAACCGTTTTTCCACACACGATTTGCTCGTCCAATTTATTTTTAATTCGTATTCCTGAATGTTGTGCACGGGCAGCTGAATTTGATCCATTGAAACTAATCACAATTTTGTTTGTTACATGTTTTAGGAGCAAGGCGAACAGTCAACCACATCATTGGATCCAATGCTTGAAAGACAAGTCGAAACCATTCGTAATTTGGTCGATTCATACATGCGTATTGTTACCAAAACTACACGCGACATGGTGCCCAAAGCAATTATGATGCTTGTTATCAACAATGTCAAAGAATTCATCAATGGCGAACTCTTAGCCCATTTGTATGCATCCGGCGATCAAGTGAGTATCGATTCGTATTTTCATTGGAATTTTCGGCTTAATTATCATTCGGTGGAGAAACTGTGATTCATTTCATAACAAAATATTCATGGAATTTTTCAATTCATTCGTTTGCACAGTCGAAAATGATGGAAGAAAGCCCAGAAGAAGCACAGAAACGCGAAGGAATGTTGAGAATGTACCATGCTTGCAAAGAAGCACTCCGAATTATTGGTGAGCTCAGTTTTTTTTCTTCTTTCGTATGAGAGAGGGAGAGAGAGATAAGGCACGTACTAAATGTTTGTTTACATGTCATTAGGTGATGTATCGATAGCAACCGTTGGAACACCAGTTCCACCACCCGTGAAAAACGATTGGTTGTCGAGTGCATTGGATAATCCAAAATTATCGCCACCCAGCCCAGGTGGTCCACGAAAAGCTGTTCCAATGACCGCAGTAAGCATACAGTATTTTTTTCCCGTGAAATAACTGGCATTTATAAATCACTTTCGAACAAGTTCTGCAAATTTTATCACTTAATTGAATCTAAATGACTTTTTACACATCACTTCACCTGACAGATGACCCAAATTCAGAATAAACATCGTTTTTTATCCTTCATTTCCATAGTTTAATATCGAACTTATTGAAATTTCATTGAATATTGACCTATTTTCAAATCATTTTCAGCAGGCCGGTCGGGGACCACCACCGCCACCAGCAACAAATCGTGCTGCTCCAGCAATTCCAAATCGGCCTGGACCAGGAGGTGCTCCACAGGGTCGGCCAGCCGGTGGATTGCCACCACCATTAATCCCAGCGTAAGTTATTCCACTCGTGATTTCCCCCAAAATTCGACCAAAAACAATTTTCTTCCTTTACATTTTGATTTCCATTCATTATTAAGCTTTTCTTTCTTCAACACTTGATTTCTTTCCGATTGTTTTTGATTATGCTCAATTTTTTTTGTGCCGAACGAAAAAAACAAAATGACAACTGATCAAACAGAGCACGATTATTATAAATTCATTCAACACATTTAAGCATTGAGAGTGCATTTCTAATGAAACGTTTACGCGTGGAAACTGATTTGAAATCAATGACGACTGTTTTTTTCTTAGATTAATTTCCGTTTTGCACTTTTGTTAGCAAATTTACAGCACCAACCATGCTCATTTAAATGGGAAGGACATTCATTCATTCTGTTCGAGGCTTTTATTTTTACCATTGAATCAGTCAGTACATTCATCATTTTTGGTTCCGGTCATTTATTTTGTGTTCCATTCATTTCTATTTTCCATTTCAATTATTATTCGCACCATTCATATCAAACGTTGATTTCAATCATTCATTGATTAGACATTTCTTGTTGTCTATCTAACCGAATCGAACACTAAATTATTTACAGGAGGCGTTAAATTTCATCATTAACCAGCAAATAAACTAATCCAACTAATAATCTATATTGATATATATGAAAAGAACAGAACAAAGAATAGAGAAAGCAAAGAAATTATACTATAAATAAAATATGAGATTCCGCATATTTTGAATAAACAAAAGAACAAAAAAATTTACCTATCTATTGAATGTTATTGAATTTTAAGAGACAAATTACTAACAAAGAATATATATATTTAATGAAAATTATGCTAGAAATAGTGTTTGTTGAAATATGAATGTTGCAGAAAAGTGATGCTAACAGTGACTACTTGCAAAAAAATGAGCCTTTTGATGCATACGATCAGAATGTCAGGGCAAAATGAATTTATACGTTGACACATTGTACATAAAAAAAGGTGAAAACTCTGTAAAAAAAAACTGGCATTAAGTTGTAAAATTCGAAATGGTCAGCTTGACCGAATAACCCACAAAAAAGAGAAGAATCACACACAATGTCGTTAATAGAAAACTTCCGATTTGTTTCGGTTTTTGGTTTCATATTCATATGAAATTGGTTTTTGCCGTCGCCACCCACCACCCTCCTCCACTTCAGCATCTCAACAATTCATTCAAAAGTTACGTGACAAAAAGCATACACTCACACACGCAAATACATTACACCCAATCAAACCAACGATGGCACTTCTGAATGTGGCTCTTAACATATATTTCAATGCAACATTATTCCCTCATGACATTCACGTAGAGAGTACAAAATCGAATAATTCTTATGATAACAAACAAAATACACAGTTGTCAATTTGTTTTTTAAAAAAAATGACACCAACGAAATCCCATATGAAATCGATGTTTTTTGCTTCACCCATTTTAAAACATTCATTTCAATGTTGCACTAGTGAATATACTCTATTGGTGTTAGAAAAATGAATTGTGTATAAAAAAAATTGGATGTGTTGTGCTCGTTTTCCTTTTTGATTTTTTTTCTACGATATTCTCCTATTTCAATCTAATTCAATTCTCTCATTTTTCCATTTCCAAAAAATTAAGGCATTTAAAATCATGAATATTTATCAATCTAAGCGACATGCATTAAAAACAACAACAACTGGTTATTTGAAGAAAGAAAACAAGAAGGTGCTTATGCAATTGTATCCAACGAAGTATTTTGCTTCCGCCGACACACATATATCGAATGTAGAGCGAAATCAGTGTTCCATCAACTCGAATGTGTAATGTGTGTGAATGTATTCAATATAATAGCGTGTTCTCATAGCAATTCGATTAGAATAATAGAAAGCGATAATGATAAGCTTATTGCGCCATGACACTGTTCATGACGACGAGAAAATTGTTGATCAAAGCAAAATATGGAACCAAACCACCCCTTGGGCCATTTTGTCTGTTGTTTCGCATCAATTTGTCCCCTTCGTTATTTCATTCGTTCAGTCGCACATAGTTTTGTTTTTGTGTTGAACATGTCAATTAATTCATTTATATTTGGACACAAATGTGTCAAACAATTTTGTGTTTCTTCTAATTTTTGTTTTATTTTTTTCTTTTGTTTTCTTCCTTCGATTACCATCCGATTTTGAAATATACCATTCACCATACACACATATTACAGACGCGTCCCAAATCAACCACAAATTCCAGCACAATTGCGACAACAAATTAATCAACAAATTGGTCAAGCGGTCACAAATGCTGCCGTCAATGAACTATCGAATGTTTTCGCCAGCAAATTCAAGTAAAAAACATTATAAATTCTATTTGATAAAGCAAAATAAAAAGAACACTTGCATCAAAAACAACAACAACAAAACCACTAACGATGTTTCTTAGGTTTAGCATTTAAGTCACAAACGCGCGATATGCTTTTAATCGCAAATTCGCTGGGATGCATTGTATTTAACTTGATTTTTCCTACTTTCCCCTATTGAATGCTTTGTAATTGGAATTCACTAAACAACAAGCGCATATTTTCATTGAAATTAACTAATATGTATCAGTAAGCAAACAATCGGGATCGTTAAACGATATCGACTGAAAGAAGAATAATGATTTTGATCTTGAAAATTTTGAGTAAAAACAGAGAGAGGAGACGGAGAGAGTGAAAATGAAAGGATGTAACAGAATCGAATCGCTGCAATTAACCAACTTCTTAGCTGTTTAACATTTTAACTATGTGAACAAATGTAGATTTGTCTTGTTAGCTTATCGTTTTTTTTTCTCGCACATCTTGGAAATAAACAAACAAATAACCAAAAAATCTACACGTAAATCATGCGCACTCAATCTAAATAATGTTATACTTTTAAATTCCATGTTATCAAATTAAATGTCTATTTTAAATACATCACCAAGAGAAAGAAGAAAAAAAAAATCGAAGCATTTGAGTATCTACCAAACAGAAAAGAAAAGATGCAACAAACATTTTCCTAGTGCGGATTCTCTCAGTTGCCCATTTCACGAAAGTGATTTTTTTTTGTTTGAGTTAGCTTTTTGTGGACAAAGTTCATCTCCTTATTGACAAGAAATCCCTGAATTAACCTAGAACAAACCAAAAACTAAACACCATCGCTCTTTAGGTTGATAGAAAGCAAACATTTTAAAACACAATTTACCTGATCACCTGTTTGGAAAATATTTAGGAATGTAGTTTGAATTAAAAAAAAAGCAACACACACAAAAACGATTACCAAAAAATATAAATTTTTAAACCAAACAAAACAAAAATCATTAATTGCTGTTGTTGTAATTTAATTAATTAAACTAAATCTACAACTAGATATTCCAAAATCGATTCGATTCAATTGAAAAGTTGATCAAAAAGTTGCATTCCAAATGAGAAAATTTAGACATATTTTGAAGCAAAAAAAAAACGATTAATATTATATAGATGATTAATTGGCTGTAGAAGAGAATACCACATTTTAGGATATTGTTTAAAAAAAAAAAGAAGGAGAAACTATTATGCAAATTAGAACGGTTTAAAAATTTAATCAAAAGTTATATTATTATCAATATGCTCCATGAGCGAGATACGACTGTTGTCAGCTTGAATGTGAAGGTTTTCCGTTGTTTTTTTTCTTTGGTCTGAGATTCCCATGATGTTTGAGTTCATAACCACCGATCCATTATCCATTTACAAACCCCATTGTTTTGCTAATAAAACCAAGAAAGCCTTCCTTGGTATTGGATCTCACCACATTTTCTGTTAAACGATGCAATGGATTAATCCTTTACACAGCCACAACACACACACATTATATAAATATACTCAAAATGAAACATATACTATAACTTTTGCATAAAAGTTCAAACAAAAGCTATATTTAAAAAATAATAATGAAAAAAAAACAGCAACAAATATATTTCATCGCTATGACGGCGTCAAAGAATAAAAAACGACACAAGAAAATGCAAATGTTGAATCATAGTTTTTATTTTGTGCATTCAGCAACAGCGATTCATTTAAACGTAGATTAAATGCATAAGCAAGAATTATGTAGTAGATTTAATTGATAAAAATCAGTCTAACGCAACAACCAACCAACCACAACAACAACACAGAAATCTACCTGAAAGTTATCAAAGATCAATGTACTCATTATTGCGACGCATTTTTGTTCTCATTCATTTTGATGTGTGCGCTGATTATGTGAACGCGTTGAACAACAGTTGTCACACCGGCCGGCAAACCAATAAGTCTTTGTCCAAATTGTAATTTAAACAGAACAGCAACCAATTTCATCAACGATCGACCTAACTCTAGACGATATCACACACTCATTCTCTGTTCGATGTGCATCGATCGAAATGAATGCGAACAAGAAGCCGACACACACTTTGAGTATCATTTTAATTCATTTGCTGCAGAATACTTGAACATAATCAACCAGCAAAATACCTTGCACATGCAACGCGACATACGCTTCTGACGCCTATTCGTGCAGTTTTGTGGCATTGTCCGAGCTAAACAATATATATAATGCGGATGAACACACTTGGACGAGAGCGAAATAAAAAAAAAACTAGCCATACCAATTATTATGAATGAAAAAGAAAAAGAAAAAAGAAAAGAAACGATGATGATGCATAAAATGAAATTATATGACTATTTTATCACTAAATGGTAACAAATCAACATTAAAATTTAAAAAATAAATTATAACAAACAAACAAACAAACAAAAATTCAACAATTCAAACGCTTTTCATTCCATTTTTCGTTTTCTCTGACTCAGCCATTTTGTTTCTTCTTCTCGTGTATCAAAACAAAAATGACTTTTTCTATGATTAAGTTGAAGTTAATGTACTTAACATTAATTTGTGCAATAGATTTTTTTCTCTCGTAGTGAGCACGATTCAATGAATTAATGATAAAAAAATGTAACATTTTCCAATGAGTGCATGCACTAATTTCTTTTCCAATACTATTTACACCTAATGCACATTTATTTTGTACACTTTTTTAGGCTAAGATTTATTTTGTAGACACTGTCTGTGTGCGCTTTAATAGTTTAATGAGCATCCCTTGCAGCGAATGTTTTCCGAAACAATTGTTTTTGGTTTAAACCAAAAACCTTTTTCAATAATTTATCCCATTTTGAATTTTATCCGTTTAAATCTAGACTATTTCTTCAATTTTTTTATTGTTGAATATTAATATGATAAACTCACTTCCAGTGTATAGTATTAATTAGCACCCATAGTTCGTTGATAATTTTCATTTACAATTTTTGTTGTAGTTATTCAATTGTTGATTTTGGTTTTTTTCTATTTTTTCCTCTGTGTTTTTCAGTCGTCCAAATCAAACGGCACCACCAAAGCTACCGGATCGACCATTTTACGGTAATGCGAGTCGCCCATAAGAGCACTGATGATGATGATGCAAACCTAGATTTTATGTTATAGTGTAATATCGTAACAAATGATATGAGAGATAAAGAGAGGAAGAGAGAGTATATGTGTGTGAGATAGAGAGAGGGAGGCGAGACAATCAAGCATCAAGCTGGGGAGAAAACTCATTCTTTCCATCAATGTTGGAATCGAATTTGTAGAAATGTATTTCAATTGGAAATTATTTAATCTAGCACATAAGAAGTCATTAAAGAAAAAAGAGAAACAAAAAAGAAATAAAACAGAAGAGAAAAAATGTATACTAAAGTTCAACATTTTTGATTTGTCTTAAAATCTTTTACCAGCAATTGATTTTTTTCCGTTTTTGCAATATCTTTCAACGCTTACGAGTCTCAAAATTTCGTTGCTGGAGTACCAGTATTATAATTTGCAGCCACAAAATTCTCAGCACTGAAAAATACGATAGATTTATAAAGACATTAATCGATTAACCCTTTATGTTATTATGCTAATTGTGAAGCATTTTGATGTTCAATGTCAAGTGCTACAAATCCAGTGTTGACTCGATGTTTTTTGTGGATCATTATTAGACATTTTGTCATATACAATGAATGTGATTAGCTTGATACGATTTTGGTTCCAATGAAAAATGCATTTCGTAATTGTTAAGACATCAAAAAGATATTCATGATTAATTTTGTTTAGTTTTCAATTGTAGTTTTTTTTAAATAATGTACTGATTTTGAAAGAAGTGAATAAATGTGAGTAGGGTATGCACAAATATGAAATACATCTGCCACAAAGTGGTGGAATAGCAGGCACAAAAAAAGTCCTCCCACACGAAAACAAAAACCAATTGTACGCAAATTGTTGGACTCATCCATTTTGGCAGTTTCATCCTCGGTTAACATTTTCGTTTTTGTTCGAATAGTGTATATAATGTTCTGCATGTTTTTGTTATGCTTTTATCTCTCATACCAATGAGAATTGAGTATTCTGTTGTTTGTATGAATAATGGAATAAAACATATTTGATCAATAAAATACTGACCGAAATTCAGACTGCAAATAAATTTGTAATAAATATCGACGATAAATTTTGTGTCTTCATTTCTCGCAATTAATTCAAAAACACCAGAGGTTATTATGTAAATATGATAAAGAATTTGATTTATTTATTCAAAATGAGTGTATGATATTATTCACAGCCTTTATTCAAAGGCTTTAAGTATTTGACATTTTTCTCATTGAAAGGCGCGTGAACATTATTCATTGATAAGCGCATTGATTTTTTCCGCAGCAAGCGGTGTTGGGGGGTTGTTGAATGAAATCTTTTGAATCTGATGTTAAAATTTATCTGTGATCGTACTCAATGCATTATTTCCACCAAAGAAATGTGCAGGTTTGGCTTTCGCATTCGCAAGAAATTCTATTCCAATCCAAGGTGCGGAAATGATGGTACAAGTCTTCTGAGCCAACCATTGGAAGATTTCATCAGTCTCAAAACCCGACAAACGTATGATTTCACACTCTTCAGCCATTGTAGTGAACAAAGCTTCACGAATCATTGCCCAGTGATTCTCTTGTTGAATGGGTTCAGAATCTAAGATATCACGGAATACTTCAACCATTTTTACGGGATCAATGGTTTGTCCTATACGTTCGTTGAAAATTGTTCCTAATGCAGAAATTCAATGATTAGTGTTACGAGAAATAAAACATGTTTATATGATTTTAGCGTCGAAAATTGCTATTGTTCTAGAACAAATGAGCGAATGACGCCCATGAGCTTCGGTTCCATGGCTAAATCACCCCATAGAGCCAACATTTCTGCCTTTTCTACCTTCGCACTTCTAGTATGATCCCTCACGAACATTTTGGGTGCCAACATGACCGAATCGAGTGATGTTTTTGCATATTTCTAGCCTCATAATCGGTTGGTTCGACTTCAACTCTCAAAAAATCATAATTTGCCATGAAAAACGTTGATACTGTGAGAATTATTTGATTAAAAAGACGAATAATTGTGATTTTACTTCAGTATAAATTTAATGTGTCTATCTTGAACAAAGTTTGCAATGAGAATGATTCATATTTGAGAAAGACTAATGCTATTGTAAACTACTTGGTTCTGATTGGCTGACCTAAAACTGAACAAAATGCAAGCTCTGAACGAAATGTCATAGTCCCCATTGGCTGCATACTTTATGCTGAGTAAAAATGTTTTGAATTCAATTTCAATTTCTTTAACACTCCCACTCATTCTACACATATTGCCGTTAAATAAAAATGAAACTCTAACATGAAAATTTAAATTTGGAAACAAAAATTCATCGAAAATCTAAATCCATTTCTAATTCATACCAAGTCTTATGATAATCGATTTGAAGTACAGGTGGGCGTTTTGCGATTACTTAATAACTTGAACAATCATTTTCAAAATGATTATAATGAGAAATTCGTATGAAATACGACCAATTAATCTCTTAATCGCAATTAATCATGATTAAGTGATTGTGCAAGAGATTAATTAATCATATCGAAAAAAAAATCGAAGGTAAAGTTTCATAAAAAAACATGTCGATTTTTGCCAGACCTAAAAAATGTTGAACAAAAATGGGTTTTTCATGGAAATGGTATCATCATTTCTTAAACGAAAACGTCCATTCGAAATAAGCGCCCAATCAACTTCATATCAATTGAAGTGAGTACTAAATGCTTACAACGGTGCTGAAAGTTGGTGTTTTACTATGAAACAATCTGAATTAATTATTTAAATTGCGAATTATTACATTTTAATACATTAGCATCAAATTGGTATATTATTCAATTTTTTTCAATTGCAATTTTTGATATAATTTATAAAAAAAAGTGAAAATTCTCATCGATTAGTACTGAGACGTTGCTGTGACTAGCATTACGTTGGCTGTGAACGCAACCCATGATTTAGTAACTAAAACAATATGGCGGCCGGATAATTGAATGACAGCCGCGATCCGTACGAATGTCACTGAACTAAAACCCATACATATTTCTTTTTACATTCTATGGTGGACCCATATAGACGTCTACGATGAAGGTAATAATAAATTTTTCAAAAATTCTCAGTGAATACGGTGTGAAAGTGGAAAATTTTGATTGAAACTCATTGCTGAGACACTGAATAGCAAGTTTTTATTGTAAAAATGCGAATAATTTGGTGGATGATTTGTATATTTTGTGATAATTTCGGGTGAATCGAATTGGTTGGAGAGTGCGGTGACAGCTAACCGCTTGCTCTCAGTGGTATCATGTGTGCAATTCCCAGCAATGATTGGCAATTATGTTATAAACACAAAATGCATGCGACAAATTTGGAAAATTGAAACCAAAAAAAAAACTGAGCTAATTAAATTGATTTGGTTTTTCTGTTTTAGTTGAACGTTTCGTATCCAGCTACTGGAGCTCAAAAGCTCTTTGAAGTCAACGATGAGCACAAGTTGCGTATTTTCTACGAAAAGCGTATGGGTGCTGAGGTTCCATCCGATTTGCTCGGTGACGAATGGAAAGGCTATGTTTTGCGCATTGCTGGTGGAAACGACAAACAAGGATTCCCAATGAAACAAGGAGTTCTTTCACACAGTGAGTAGTTTTTTTTTCCATTCCTCTTCGTTACAGTGGCAAACATAACCAAAAAAAAATACATGAAAACAACAAAACGCTAATGCGATCAAGTGGTGCCAAGTAAACTAATATGTTTTTTTTTTCGTGTGTGTTTGTTTCAGCTCGTGTTCGTTTGTTGTTGAAGAAGGGTCACTCATGCTATCGCCCACGTCGTAACGGTGAACGCAAACGTAAATCGGTTCGCGGTTGCATCGTCGACCAAAACATGTCCGTTTTGGCTTTGGTCGTTGTCAAGAAGGGTGAAAAGGAAATCGAAGGCTTGACTGACCGTCATGTTCCACGTCGTTTGGGACCAAAACGTGCCAGCAAAATTCGTAAGCTGTACAATTTGTCGAAAGAAGATGATGTACGTCAATACGTCGTTCGTCGTCCATTGCCACAAAAGGAAGGCAAGAAACAACGTTTCACTGCACCAAAAATCCAACGTTTGGTCACACCAGTCGTGTTGCAACGCAAGAGACACCGTGTTGCAATCAAGAAAAAGCGTCAAGCACACTCAAAGGAACAACAAGCCGAATACGCCAAATTGTTGGCTCAACGTAAGAAGGAATCAAAGGCCAAACGCGAAGAAGCCAAACGACGCCGTTCAGCCTCATTGCGTGAATCACGAGCTTCACAATCATCACAGTGAAGTGTGTAGGCTTTTTATTTTCCAAAACAAAATAAAAATCAGAAAATACCAATAAAACCAACAAAATAGAAATTATTCTATTGACATAAAAAAAATGCCCCGTGTTTTTATTTATTTAGCATCTGTTGAGATTGCGATCATTTGAAGTTATTTCAGGTTAATGTTTTACACTCGTTCGGTTTGTATTCAATGTGCTGCAACTTTAAATTGCGATTCTTTGCATGCATTTTTGCAGTCACAGGTCCAATCGTTTTCAATTGCGCCCAGTAATTCTTGTTTTGATTTCCACGAAGTTTATGTTGATACCCATGACTTCTCTCCAGTTGTTTCGACCAAATTCATTCCCCCTTTCTCTCCAATCCGTTGATTCACAGTGTTTCTTTCACATGGATTGACTGAATATTCAGTTGTTCTTCTGATATTTGATTACGGCAAATGGCCCGATGACCTTCAAAACACAGCATTTATGGTAGATTTTAGTCCAATGCACCGACTGGAATTGTTTAAAATATCTCTAAACGCTTGCTGTTGTTGTTGTTCACCGGCATTGTTTCAAAAATCATGCTCTTACTTCAAAATCGTTTCCATAAGAAACATCAACAGGTTACCAACGGATGACTAAGAAATCTCATGGCATGAACGATTGAATGGTTTGGTTCTTTTTAATGAAGCCTGAAATGAAAATCTTCACCTTTTCGATTGGTGAGCACTACAAGAAAAAGAAACTTTAACGACACAAAAAAGCACATGAGGAACCTTTTCATTAGATAGACAGAGAGACGCATTCCATTCAAAAGAAAACCATCCTGGAAAACCAAACCAAAATAAATGATAAAAACCACATGTTTTTGCTTTTGTTCAAAATGAACAAATCATTTTTTTTTATTATTTCTTTCGTAAATTTAATTCACATAGATAAATCCGAGCTTGCACTTAGGCGGTCGGAAATAGCAGTTGGATGGTATGTGAATTTGCCGAAACGCAGAATGGAGAATGCAGATAGAGTTTACTTGGCATGGCCGGCTTTACGCATTTGTGTCAAGATGTTGGACAATTCTTCACGCTTTCTCTTTCCACGGATGTGTGTGCCCAAACGAGCTTTGCAGAATTTCAGTGCACGCTTATCCTTTGAGATTTTCAACAATTCCATGCATCTCTTCTCATATGGAGCGTGTCCAACGACTTCACGGACTAAATCACGAACGAATCGGGTGTGTTTGGTTTGGATCTGTGGATGAAACCAAATGGAATAAACAGTGAATTAGTGGCGTAAATATACAAAAACCCGAATTCAATTTGATCGAGTATGAAAAGGGAACGACGTTGCGGTTGACGTTATCAATCAGAGCCTACAATTTAACCAAGAAGCAAACGAGTCAAATTTTATCGAACAAAGTACCAAAAGAATATTGGCACATGTCAATGCAAAAAGCCTCGTGAATTTGCTTGTCTTTGAATGGATTAGTTTTGTTGTCATCATTTAGGAATCACATCACCGAACATCACACAATTGCCACTTAAGAAGTTGAGGTTATGCGTGTACCTGTACATAACATCGACTGCTCTTCTCTCTCTTCTTTTCATACACAACACTTGGTGTTAGTTTTTACACTTACATTTTTTACGCTGGATCCTTTAAGTCCCTTGACTTTTTTGTCGCCTTTGTAGCTAACACGGCGAATTTTGGTGGTTTTAAAGCCTTTGTTAAGACCAACAGCTAATTCGTAACGTACAGCCATCGTCGCTATTTATCTAATGGAAGAAAAGAACAATGCGTTCGGTTAAGTTTGGATGTCTCACTGTACATAAAACCGTATCATTTGCGTTGATCGTGTACATTGCTGGCACAAACATGGAAAAAATCCCGATTTATTCGCCATCGTAATAATTTTTTACAAAAACTTTTGATTGCAATCGATTTTACATCCATTATTGTGCACAATTCCCACGAAAAATGCAATTATTTTTCAATCGATGGTTAAAATAAAGTGAGATGAAATAAAAGTTTGTGTTGTACCTTTGCAGTGACAGCCGGAAAGAATGCGTACGTCGAAAATGTTTTTTCACAATTGATTCGCAGTTTGCGATGAATGCCGTCTATGGCGCTGGTGTCACATATTTGGCAACTGTCATCGTGTTCTAATTTTTCTGTGATTGTCATTTTGGTGGCAAACTCTAGTGTCAAATTGTTTATTTTGTTATTGTATCACCTGTAAAGGGTTTTTAATTCTTTGATTTGATATTTACAACAAAAGAAAATGGTACGAACAAGACGCAGTACACAAAAGTCAGCAATTCAAACGCCCATTAAAACAATTACCAAGGAAAAAAATGTGGGCAAAAGGAGTAAATTGCAAAATAATTTGGATCGATGTAAAAATTGGATTCAACAACAGAAAAAAGAGAAGCTAAAAATTGAACCAGATGACTTGGACTCAAATGAATCTGATGAAGAGCAGCGTGATCTGAATTTAGCTGCTATCTCGGTATGATTTTGTGATATTTAAGAAAATTCAAAGCAATCTCACGTGAAAAACAAGTGTTTGATCTACTCTTTAGGGCGCATCTGAGAATGAAGAAACCGTTGCACAAGTGTTGTCCTCCTGCGAATGGCAACGATGTAATCGGCTATTTGAAAAGCATTCCGAGTTGTTTGAACATGTTGTGGGCCATTTGCCAACGATTGGCGACCATTTTAAGTGTGAATGGGATCTGTGCGACCATGTGATTGATGATGTTGTGAAATTCAAACGGCATGTTGGCTGTCATATCTACATGACCCGATTGAAAACGACTGGTGAGCGATTGTTGCACAAAAGACCCATGCCGCCATGTATGATTTCGTCACGTGGCCGAAATTGTATACCGTCAGTTGATTCGAAATACATTTGCATGTGGAAGGATTGCAGCTACACATTTGATATGGTCGAAGATTTCTACGAACACACACGATCACACTGCGTTCATGAGCTCGAGTTCAATAAACAGGGCAACCGAAATAAACCTGTCCAGTGCCAATGGTAAGTGGAGTTTTTCTGTTCGTCGATTTCATTTTTTTGGTCTGTGAAAATTACACTGAAAAAAATCGAAATGTTCCATATTTAATAGGTTAAAGTGTAAGAAAATGTTCGATAGAAGGCTGAAAATGACAGAACATATGCGAACCCACAGTGCGGAACGCTTTGTTGCATGTCCAAATTGTGGACAAACATTTAATTCGTACGTGAAATTCTATGATCATTTTCGACGGCAGGCATTGAATAGTAAGTTATGAAAGTTCTTCATTTTAACCCTATTTCAAAGTAAAAAAAACTCATTTTTCTTCAATTGCCACCAGAAAGCTTCAAGTGTTATCAATGCTTTCAAACGTTCCACACCGAAGAATTATTGAACAATCACACAGCGGCCCATGTGAATCGCGTGAAATGCACCGAATGTGATATGACGTGTACGTCGAATGCAGCTCTTACGCAACATTTTCGCTATCGTCACTTAAAAGAGCGTCCATACACATGCACAGAGTGTGAATATGCTGCCGTAACCAAATGGGATTTGAATAAGCATCAAACGCGAATGCACAGCACGGAGCTAACAACGTACATTTGTGATGAATGTGATTTCACCTGTTCGACAATCAATCAAATTCGAAAACATAATCGAAACGAGCATGGCGATGGGCCAAATGTGTACTGTTGCCATTGTTGCGATAAACAATACAAAAATGGTTCATCGCTGTCACAGCATTTGAAAAATCAGCATGGATTCCGTTTGCCGTCAGGTCATACGCGGTTTTTCTATCAAATGGACATCAATGGTGTGTATCGGGTGCAAACAACGAGAATGGAGAGTTTGGAAGTTTCAAAACAAATTATGGCCACGCAAGCAAATGATGTGGCACAAAATAAAAATGTCACCTACACATTAGGTGAATTTGCCGAAACATCTGATGGCATCACAATTTCCGTAGTTGAATCAATCAAGCAAAAAGAGGCATCAAAGTCAAAAGAGACACCGAAACCAAAAGACACAACGAAACAGAAAGAAACAACGAGACTTAAAGAGACAGCGAAGACAAAGCCATCATCAACAAATCAATCCGATGTTAAAGCACAAAGTGTGGATTTGTCGGCGAAGAAAAAGACGACCGCTTACAACGAAATCGATTCGAATACATTCGCATTCATGGAGTGCTTGAATCTGAAGAGCAACCACAGCGAAAGCAAAGAGCTTAAGAATATCGACAATTTCTCCGTCATCAAAAAATATGCAAAGAATAAGAAGCGACAGAAAAACCGATCCACCGAATATATTATTGCTGAGTTTGATGAACAAGGAAATATGATTGAATCGCAAATATTGCCATGTGATACAGAAATCGAAACATCAAACTCATAATCAATTTTTATTGAGGAATGTATGGTCGGTTAACAGTATGAAAATATAATGATATCGTTTAAATTTATTGTTTCAACGTTATTTGAGCGAAGATGTGTCAAAATTCTAAAAAAAACCAAGCGGTGAATATTTGTAAGAGGATTTGTCCGGTTTAATACACCAAACACTCAATAAAATAAGAAAAATCATTCATTACAACGTGTCTGTCTTTATTGGAATTACAAGTAAGCTTATACACAATATTAAGTCGTTTTCGCTACTTTTTTCGCCTTGGTGTTGTGATGACGCAAAATGTGGTTCTTTAAATTTACTCGCTGAGCAAAGGTTTTGTCGCAGTGCTCACACTTCACTTTTAGACTGGGATCGTGTACTCGGATGTGCTTATTCAAATCGGAGGAATTTGTGAAGCCCTTTGGAGAGAGAAAACAAATAACATTAGTATGGAAGGAAATAAAGCAAATATTGGAACATAAGAAGCGATCATTGGTGGGTCAAAACATTGAAAAATCAGGTGGTGTTCTCATTTTACCTTATTGCACGTGTTGCAAACGTAATTCTTTTCATTTGTATGTGACCGAATGTGCACTTTCAATGCACTCGACTGATTGTACGTCTTTGGGCACATAGAACATTTATACGGCCGCTCCTTGGTGTGAATCTGAAAAAATTCAATCGAAATTTTAATGGTTGCTTGAAATGATTCAACGTAGATGAGTCAATTTGCTAGCCACTTACTCGTAAATGTGACCGATAATTGCCAGCCTGAAAACATGAAAAATAAGAGTTTATAAATGGCCTTCAATTCGTTCAATTCCACATCATTCATTCTAGATGTTATTGAACCAAAAAAAAATGAGTTGAAATTTACCTGAACAAATTCTTTGCCGCAATACTCGCACTTGTACAGTCTGTGAGAAGCGAAAAAATATCATCAAAATGTTGTTTAGTTATTCTCAAAGAAAATGGCCACAATAATGCAAATCTATCGTTTCCATACCGAACGTTAGCGTGAAGTCGTAGATGATCGACGAGATTTGATTTACGCATAAATGTTTTTTCGCACACTTCACACTTGTGGCTTCGTCGACTCTTTTTGCCAGCATTCGGATCGCTTTTGAACAGCTCTTTCTTTTCCAACAAGAAGCTGACCGCGTCCAATGGCTCCTCCTCGGCATTTGGTTCATCTGTAATCAGTTCAGTTTCATGTTCGTTCAAATGCAAATATTCGTCATCCTCCTCATCTTCCTCATCTTCTTCGGCTTTTGTTTCTTCCACATAGATTTGTTCGGTGGCTTCGGTATCGTTGTAATCATCTTCTTCGATCGTGGCAATTTCCACCAGTTCTTCATGTACACCTGAGCCATCGTCAATGCTTTTCCCGTCGTTTGGGTCACTTTTCGTAATCAATTGATACACCTGAATGGTTTTCTTTTTCTTTTTCACTTCCAGCGCTTTGATCAACTCGCCACGAATTTTATACGCCAATTTCACCCGACTTTGACAATCAAAACAAATATAATTCGACACATTTTCACCATATTCAATCTGTGGATGAAACGTGTTTCGATTAGTAAAATTTTATTGCAATTTCACCAAAAAAAATAATTCAAATGTTTTATCTGATTCGATCGCAAACCCGGATTCAAACATCAAAAGTGAGTGTAAAACATTGAAAACATCTAATTGCAAAACCCGCAACACAGAGTGTTTATTTGAACTAAATAGAAAAATTAAATGGCGTATTAACAACAAACCTCTATGCCTGTCAATTGCTGCATCGCTTCAAAGTATGAAATCTGATGGTTTTCATTTTCGTAAACTTTTACATTCGAATGGAAGAGATTCGAAAAATTTGGTGCATATTTACTATCGCAAATGCGACACGCTGTTTTTTTACCCATCTTTCAACACAAATTTGTGGTTTTTTTCGAATAAAAATGTAATGAACAAGACTGGACAAACAACCGATGCTGATGACAACGAAAACACAATGACAGCGCTCTTTTTCTTTTCGTTGAATGCTTCGAAATGAAAGGTTTTATACATATATATGTCGGTAAACCGTTTGACAATTGTGCGCGGCATCGGCGCCACCGTAACTTCAACAACACTTTGAAATGTTTACTCGAGACAACGACGACAACGGCGACGACGACAAGGAGCAACAACAACAGTTTGTGTGTTGCGGCTTTTCGCTTGTCAAAGGTGGGGAAATTATTGAAATTCGCACCAACGTGCATAAATCAAACGAAATAACAACAAAAACATTGGCAGAAAATTAACTGTCAGAAAAATAGAGAGTAAAATTCTCATTTTTATTTCGCTGCTCATAGGGTCAGTCGATGCGATCGACTAAGATAGCATTTTGTAATAGATGTAAGTTCTGTGTGTGTGTGTTCTTTTTTTCGCTTGTCCTCTCAATATTTATTTTTCTCTACTTACCGTGTAAATTGTCCGCGCTAAATTGCAAAATTGCACATGAAATGAATTGTAGAAAAATTCGTGTGAAGTGAAAAAAAAAATTTACATAGAAAATGAATAAATGAATCGTGTGTTGTTGTGAGATTTTAGTCAAAAAAGGAAACACAAATGTTGATATTTCTCTCTCTCTCTCTCTCTCTCTCTCTCTCTCTCGGACTCCGATGATTTTCTCCATATTTTCTTTTTCGTTTAAATTACCAACCAAGTTATTTTTTTTCTCACTGAGTGTCTTCTTTGTTATCAAAAGATAATAGTTTATGTGTCTGTGTGCAACATTTGCTTTTGATCCATTCATCGCGTACATGTTGGCTCTTCTTTACATTTCGGTGGGGGTTTTTTTCGAGTCAAGAGTTACAAGTTTAGATTACTTATCGGTTCCTCTTCGAGAGAAATCAACAAACATGTAGTGTGTGTATGACGTTCAACAATTGAATAAGCAATACTGATCACGTACACACACATATACACTACGTAGATATGGCTTAAATCCGGTGAACCATTGCCTAGGAACAGAACATACATTGTATTCAAATGCAATCATATTTGTTCATGTTTTACGTGTCTCTTTCGTACGAAATGCCAATATTTAGGCCATAAACTCTTCGCTCGACTTAAAAACTCACGTAGATACGGGCTAGAGAGAGCGAGAGAGCAAGAGGCGAAGAAAGCAAAAGGAGGAAAAAAAAAATCAAAAGTGATCATTTGTCAATATGTGCAAAAGAATTAATTAAATTGGAAACAGTCCTGGCCAGAAAGCGTGACGGCGTGCGTCTACGCGAGAACTCCCATAAAGAATATATACATATGTAAATATTCACCGTGTCGGTCGTTTGTTGGCATTTGCATTCGCTCCTAATTCGATCTCGTGCAAGATTTTCAAATGTAAATAGCAACAAAACACTCGTGTTTTTTTTGCTCTTCATCTTCTTCTTTCTTCTCTCTGTAGTTAGTTTATTTATATTGAATTCGGTGTGTTAATGTGAGTGGCGGTGATCAAGCGCGCGCTCATTTGAATTACGTGCTTGCATCGTAAATAAGTAGTGATCACATTTCACTATACTGTCTGTACAAAACTCAATGTCAACTATATTTTATTACAAATTAATTCTCGTGTTTTTTTCTCCTCTTCTTCACTTTGCTCCTTCTTCTTTTTCATTTTTCGTTATCGCCTGAATCGATTCAAAATGCATCGTTGAGCAGCTACATCATTTATTTAATTAGTTGCCACACAGTTGAACGCACAGCACCGTGTGAAACAAACACAAACAGAAAAATAAACCGAGAACGATCAAAAGAAATCATGGCTCTGGAATCGATTCGTTATAGCAATGGGAAATTGGACATATTGGATCAGTTATTGTTGCCCGCGCAAAATAAGTATTTGTCGGTGAAAGGTGTCGAAGATGGGTGGAAAGTGATAAATCGGATGCAGGTTAGAGGTGCACCGGCTATTGCCATTGTCGGTTGCTTATCGTTAGCAGTCGAATTATTTAGCGAACAGTTTAGTGATAAGAAGTCTTTGCGTCAGGAAATCGAAGGAAAACTCAATTATTTGGTGTCAGCACGACCAACAGCGGTTAATGTATGTTCACATTTTACGGCAATGTTGTATTTATACTCCAAAATTGCTAGAATAATTTCGTTTTTATATATTTTGTATTGCATTTATTTTTATTGATGATTATTTTCATTTCAATTGACTGCGGTTTAGATGAAAATTGCGGCCGATGAGCTAATAAAATTTGCAAATGAGTTGGCAACCAATGAAAGCGTCAATGTGGACGAAATGAAGCGAAAATTCCTTGATACCACAGAAGCAATGCTGCGAAAAGATATCGAAGATAATAAGGCGATCGGCACAAATGGAGCCAAAGCAATTCTACAAAATACAGACGGAATGGTCCGTGTGTTGACACATTGCAACACCGGTTCACTTGCGACGGCTGGTTATGGCACGGCTTTGGGTGTCGTTCGTACATTATTTGAGCTCAATCGCTTGGAGCATATTTATTGTACTGAAACGAGACCATATAACCAAGGTGAGACTGCTTGTTTGTTATAAAGATTCATATTGATGAATTACATCTTTGGACCAAGAATTTTGATTGGATTGTACTTTGTATAGGGGCTCGGTTGACAGCATTTGAATTGGTCCACGATAAATTGCCGGCTACGTTGATTATCGACAGCATGGTCGCTGCGCTGATGCAGAAAAAGGTATAAACAAAACCCAATCTAGTGAAAAGTGAAGAGGGAGTTTGCTAATGCACACAATTCTAATTTGTCCAAAACAGAATATCGCAGCAGTTGTGGTTGGTGCGGATCGTGTAGTAGCCAATGGTGATACCGCCAATAAAATTGGCACTTATCAAATTGCCGTTGTAGCCAAATATCATAATGTTCCATTCTATATTGCTGCTCCGTTGACGTCAATCGACTTGAAAATCTCCAGCGGCGAACAAATTGTTATCGAAGAGCGTCCAGATCGTGAAATGACTCATGTGGGTGAGCATCGAATCGCTGCCCAAGGTATTAAATGCTGGAATCCAGCATTTGATGTGACACCAGCCCATCTGATTACCGGCATTATAACGGAAATGGGTGTCTTCAAACCACAAGAAATACGGCAAAAAGTTAGCGAAATCCTTCAAACGGAAAAAAATGGCCAATAACTAGTATTGCATATCAAATCCATCGAGATGTAAAACACCAATTTTCTAACAAATGTATACACAATTATTCGTGCTTTAAGTGAAACTTAACCAAAAACAAAGGAGCAACAACAACAACAAAAAGTATCAAGGCAAATGTCAAATAAATGGTGCCAATTTTTTCTAAGCAAACCCTATAAAAGTCGTTTTTCTCATAGCCGATGCCGCCATAAAACCCGATGACGTTTCACAAATGTCAAATTCCGACACAATAAACACACAAACAGACTGGCTGTTTGTAGTGTATATCAATCGTTGTGATATGGTCATATTCCATTTATTGAACACTTGCTGTTCAGTAGTTCATAGTCTAATCACCGTCCTATGAATAACAATTCGATCTTACTCTCAATTTTTTTTACGACCTAAATCAAAGAAAGACCACTTTTTTGGATCTGACCACCGACTGTGCCTTTTTTTAGAAATCATTTTTTTGATCTAAATACCAATACATTCTTTTGTTATCATTTTTCAACGAAGATAACGAGGCGTGCATCGTAAGATAAACGATTAAAAATGGGAAAATTAAACATTTTTAGATCGTTTGGGCTGTTGATAGCCTTGTCAGTGTTTGGTTTAATGCTTGTTGACGCAGCTAAACGGAATGTAAGTAAAATCTATTCAAAATTTCATTCATGTTTCTTTATCAAAACCACTTGATGTGTGTGCAACGTGCATCCGCCCTTAAAATGGATAGCGAACATCAAGCACTTGAAATTTTAATGATTTTCACGGTTAAAATTTGATTTCAATTGTGTGCATTGTTTTGCACTCATTGAAAAATTGGTCACATGAACATTTCAAATCAATTTCATGAAACGGGAGTGTATAGCATAACATTGCATATAACATTTCGTGTCGTAATTCGTTGGAATTTTCATAGCCAAAATTAGCACGTAATTTTGAATTCGACGAAAAAAATTTCATAGTGTTGCGTTTTGTTTACCGTCTTTGTGTAACCAGAGCAACCGATTAATTTACATGATTCGAATGTATTGGCAATATGCTCATCAATTATGTATAGCAGCAGTTGGAGCCGATTTTATGGAAAGTTCTTAATTGGTACGGCACTCCATCGAATGAAAATGGTTCGGTAAACACGTACACTACACACGTACACACATACACAATCACAAGTCGGTATAATTAAGGGCCATTTATATCCATGTTAGAAACAACGAGTTCATGTTCAAGGATCGTATTTCAATCGTATCGTGGCAAAATCAACTAAATTCAATATGATTTAAACTTACACGATTTCCGATGGAAATTACAGTATTCACATCGAAGCCGTTTGCTTATTCAAATTCCAAATTCGCTTTTGAGCCGACTTGAAAATCGGTTAACTGTTAACAGTATAATGAATAGGTTCCGTCGCTATTGGCATCAGATTTTCCCTTTGAAGATTTCAAGAGAGCGTGCGTGTAAATATGGGGGCATCGGGGACACACAAGTATTGCCATACAATAATAATTGAATGTCATGAAATCGAAATGCTGGTAGTTCCAAGATTCCATGCGTTGTGATTTCAGCATATCGGAAACATGCGATGTAATGTTTTCTTCAAAATAAGAAACATTCAAGCAGTCATTTTATGTAGAAAATTCCATATGAAACATATTCATATCGACACTTTCTTCAGTGTGTGTTATTTGTTGTCGGCCGTCTCACTGTCACTGCCTCATAGTAATGAATCATTCATATTCCAAAATCCGAACATTTATGATTGGACTAAATTACTGCACGAGCACAATCAATATTGTTATTTCAACGCTTATTACAAATGAATTATGAATCATTGTGTATGGCGGCAGCTGTTCTGAGCCAATTTTCCACCACGTCTGCCCGACAAAGACTATCTTTTTTTCTCCCCTAGTTGTTCTTTGTTGTTGTTGGATTGATTTAAGCTATTTTTCATCATCGTCGAATCGATAATCCATGTTTTTTGGTTAACCCTTTGACGACCAAAACTGAACGGCTGGGAATTTTGCAATTCTGATTGCAGATTCGTGCTCAGCGACCCCAAAAATATTAGCAAAAGTGTTATCAAAAATTAATTTTTTTAATTGCAAATATGAAAAAAATGATGGGACATATGTGTCCCATTGGTCGGTAAAGGTAACTATTTACCTTTATTTTTCTATGAAAAAAACATGTCTCCCATAAGAACTACGTGTAAAATCTTTTCCATTTTAAAAATTTATAGAATCGTTTTAAACCAAAAATGGTTTGAATCATGCTTTGTTGTGCCCATTTAATCACGAATTTAACGATCTTTTTGTAAATTTGTGTGTTTCGAAATTCGCAAAAAGTGGTTGAAATACAGGGAAATCAGTGGTAATTATTTACCTTTACCGACCAATGGGACACATATGTCGCCAAAAGCAATAAAAATTTGAAACAAAATTTTTTGTAGAAAAGGCGATTATCCTTAGAAAGTAACAGACACTCCGTACAACATTTCCAATTTTCAGCTTTAAAAGTTGTACCCTTCAAATTATATAGGGTTTGGCGGAATTTGAAAAAAAAGTTAAGATTTTTCGACTTTGAAGTGTTCTATTTGAGCACAGTGATGTAAAATATCCAATATTATGGTACTTTCTGGTAGCTACATTCATTCTCTTTCAAAAGAAACCAATTTTATCGAAATCGGTCTAAAAATGTGGAAATTATTGACGAAAAACAAAATGGGACATATGTGTCCCAAAGGTCGTCAAAGGGTTAAGTCGCAGTATTTGTTTTTATTTTCTTGTTCGACTTCAATAAAATCGTTTGTTGACATATTGATTTCCGTTTTTGCTGCCTCCACCGCAATTAATGTCATATTTTTTTGTTCGTTCTATTTGATATTGTAATTCATTTCCGAACACCAGTTAAGTGCCCAATTGAACCCAGGCTGTCCAGATAGCATTTGTGAGAGTATATTCGAAGATGAGAAAATAACCGTAGTTCATGTACAAGCCGAAGGTGACAACGATACACTGCATTATATTTGGGACTTGAGCCGTCAGCCAACCGTGCTAGTCGCACTGTGCGAACGCAATACAAATGTCACCATCGGATATAATGGAACCGTCAAGGATGCAGACAGTATTCAATTTTCGAATAAACCAAAGTATACAATGTCATTTGTATTGACCAAGGTTAGTAACCATTGTTCATATATATGCGCCGCTGCGCTATCATGTCTTACGACGCTAAGTAATTGGATTTCGAACGCACGTTTCAATCATTATTTTATTTATGGTATCGTTAAAAGGTTTTCATTTTCAACGATATCAAAGATCAGGCATCAATAATTGGGGTTAATACATCGAACATTGAAACCATTGACACGAAATATCTCACATGGACTCGAGAAAATTTCACCGAATCAACGGGTGAAGTGAAAGTTGCCGTTAGCGGTAAAAATGATTCTTTGATTGGATGCGATGGTGTCATTAATTTAAAGGTGAGACTGCTTTTGTTTGCCATAAGAATTAATATTGATGGATTACATCTTTGAACTAAGAATTTTAATTGGATTCTGTTGTTAATTTCGTTCTGCAACAAACATGTTTCGATTGATTTCTCATTAAATTTTTCAATATTTAATGCAGCTCAAATGCTACGGTGAAGAAGATCATGATTCGGATATCCCGCATTTGATCCACTCAATCAATGTGACCCAAGTCGATATCGAATTCATTAATTTGACATCGAATAAAACGTTCGAGTCGCCACGCATTGCAGCCGAATTCGTACTTGTTGCCAGCGAATCGCCAAAGAATCCGTTCAACATCACCAAACGTAAGACTGTCGATGATGAACACACACCAGGCACATTCACTCTTGTTGATATCATTACACCTGGTGAAACCCAAGGTACGTAAATCATTTAACACACGTTTTTTGTTGTCAATTATTTATTTGTTTTGCCAATGCATTGAGCTAGATTTTCAGTCTTATCAGAACATTGGTATGAAATGGGATTGAACTGCATGCTGCAAAGTTGTTTATTTTCATTTCCAACGCTTTAATCCATATTACAGGAAGCTACATGCAATACCGTCCGATAAGCTACACTGAAGATAGTCGTGACATTACCGCCAAGACGGATGTTCAGGTGAACGAGCCCGTTTTCATTGCAGATGCAAAATCCTACTTGAACTCATCACTGGCATACTCGTACTATGGCAATACCCTTGACAAAAATTTGGTGCAATCGTTCAATATTTCATTCGGACAGACACAAGACAAATTCTATTCGCTGACCAACTATACCACATGGTAAATGAAATGAACATGTTTTGAAATTTAAATCAAATTCATTCATATTTAATCATATTTATAGGACATTTGTTTTGGGCTATGGAACGGCACCACCAGAGCGTGTATCCATGTTCATTGCCATTTTGGCGTGCATTGGCCTGGGAATACCGTTGCTGCTTTTAATTATTGGCGGTATTTACTTGGCCGTTAAGCGAATGCGAAACTGTTGAATTAATTGCTCACCAGTTTGAAAAGTCTGATAAACCAAATGAAATCCAGTGCAATGATTAGCCATAATCTCTGCTAGTTTCAATTTTGCCTTCAATTTATAAAACATTCTCGAAAACTAATTATTTTTAATAACATTTCTGAATTTCAACTAAGAATGGTTAATTAAAATTGTATGAACGAAATTTGATGTTTAAATGAAAATGAAGAAAACACAACAAATTGGAATTAATTCAACCACCGTCAATTAAAATAATCAACTCTTGGCATATATATTATATATAGACTAAATTCGACATACATTGAACCAACGAATTTGATATTTAGAAATAATTTATTTTTTGAATGGAAAATAGATGAGAAAATGAATTTTCAAAAACAAACCGACCAAAAGTTTGTTAGCTAATACACTGTATTGCATACGAGGGGGTTTTATTTCAACAATATTTATCCCAGTTGGTCAAACGTATGCCTAATCTGCAATAAAGCATTTTCGAATGAAACTTAAGCTCTCTCTCTCTCATTTTAATAAGTTTTGGTTAAATAAGTTTTTCGTATAATTTATATATGAACCAATCAACAGTACAAACACACTGCAAATGCACCAACCCAAACTTAGACTATAGTACTTCACTGTACCGGTATAAAATAACAATTGTAATAAAAAGACCTCGAAGAACAGTTGTAAAATTGTGGCTTATGTACGTCAAAAGCACTATAATGAATGAATGAATGGACGTTCGTTAGTTGTGATATATTAAGAAAATGCGTTGTGAGGTTGGAAACTGGATAAAACCATGAATTTTACGATGGAAATGATAAATTTGTTTATAAATGGCTGTTAATTAAATGGTTTTGCTGGAATTCAATCTTTGCTCAGAGCTTTTGAGAGTGTTTAAAACCACATATTCTTACACATAAGCAAATATTGTTGTTAGAATGTTTTGGTTTATTTTATGATGAAATTCAATAAAAGCTGTTGATTTGTACACACACACACAAGTGTTTTGTTATTGAATTTCAATTTTCCACCTGGATACGTCGATTTCTTGCTTTCATTGGATGTTTTTTCTACGGTATAAATTGTGCACATTTCTCAAAATTGAACACTATTTTCTCCGATCACTTATTTTCTGTGAACAAATACACACACACACATACGAAAATGGTCATCAAGCACCATTTGGGTGTGATAACTTTCCGAGAGCAACGAATGGTAAACCATTTTTATTTGGTCAATGAGTCGACGAGTCAATTGGGACAAAACTGTAGTCGAATAGCATTATGAGAAGAAAACTAAATGAGGCTGTGAGAATGAAAATGGCAATACAGGAATAAACATTCTGAACCGCATCAAGAAAAACAAATTCGCAAAAGTGAATCATGAGTTCTGAATACGCAAAGTGAACCATGAACCTCCTATGCTGCCCATGTAAATTTATGTTTCACTTTTGCCATTGTATTGCCATTTTCATTCTCACAGTCTCAAATGTGGTTTGGTTGAGTCATAAATGTGTTTTTTGTCTTCCACAGTAAAATTAATTTTACGATGTTCGTTTTTGCGAAATAAATCGATTCTGGTTTTAGGGATCGAGGCGAAAAACAATGGCAATAAAAAGTAATGAAAACGAAATTACAACATCATCGACACAATCACTGTGAAATATATCGCTTTTTTCTTGTTGTTTGTTCGGCAACAAAGCGAAAAACCAATTTTATGGTTTTTTTTTCGCCCGTTCATATAATATATATACGTAAGTGATCAACGGTGAAATTGGTGTTCCGGCACTCATCGGTTTAGTGGTTGTGTTCAGTGAAAATGACCTCGGACGGTTTGAAATATCTGGATCCAATGGATATTCGGAGCTTTTACTAGATGGTTTACTGGCCATCGCATCGGAACTTGACGGAAAATGCTTTGAACATAATGTGAGCAAATTATCATCGGAAATACAAACAGATGTGCACATGGCCGAAGCCGAAAGCACATCGATATCACGACGAGAGTGGAAGACGAAACAGCAGTCCGATTATAAATTTTATTTCGTTCGAAATATATATACAGCACCGCGTGTATTGATGATATCTCTCATATAATAAATCGCTTCGCTGTTATTGTTTGTTTGTAATAATTTTGTTATTCGATTTGTGTTTATATTTCGTGTCGAATGGTTTTGTTGTTTTTGGATTGGTCCATGGCAGCACATTTCCAGTGACCGCAAAATGATTTCATTGTTTGTTCAATGTGATGCGACACTCCATTGATTGAACAAGGAATGAATTTCGATTTTCATTTATTTTTATTGCAACGCTCAAGAGAATCGAGCACAGCATACAGAAGAAAGCAAGGAGAAGTGCTTCTCTCGAGCGTAGCAGAGAAAAAAACAAAAGAGATGAAAATAATGCGGAAAAGATATGGAGAAGAAGAAGGAGAAGGAGAAAAAACAAGCAACACGACTTATTGTTATCACCGGAAAAGTACGGCATAAGCTTCAATTTTATGCGTTTTATTTGGAATGTGTCTCTTATGCATTCGATGGCATTTAATATGGAATCCATTTGTGGTTTTGCCAACTTTCTTCCCTATTCGAAATGTTGCTAACGCATAAACACATTACGAAAACACAACAAAACTCGCCCAGAATCATTAGTGCAAAAGAATTGAATGCGATGCGGCGCGCGCATTTTATTTAATTATCATTTTTCGATTAAAAAAGTTCCGCGCTTCGTTCAAACTTTCCATTTTTTTCGTGCTCTGTTCTCGATTCTTCTTTTAAAGTGATCACTTCTGCTTCTTTTCCTTCATTTTCTATTTCTTTTATTTTGGTTCCATTTTGCTGGTGCTTTGAATGCTGTTGCTGCCTTTGTCCCAAAGATATTGAGAAACTTATTTGCTTGAGTGAATTGAAAATGCGATGTTTGAAGTTGCACAAAGAAACACCATGGAGAAAAGCAGAACTGAAAAGAGCATCCACACACACACACACACACACACAGACAGACACTGACACTGTATGCTCCACGCTAAAGACAATTTTTTCGTGGCAATTTCCATGGTGTTGGCCGGTATAATGAAATTCGCTTAAAGCGACCATTGTATTTAAGTGCTTTCGTTCCCATGGTGTGTAGATTGTGGTCGTGAACCGAATCGAAAAGGAAGTGGCGAGAGATAGAAAAAGAGAATAGAACCCGAAACCAAAGTCATTTAAGTAAATTATGCTCTTCGTTTGTTTCGACGACTTTAAATGCGTTCTGCAAAAGCAAAAACAAGCAACTATTTTTTGTTCGTTGGGTGCCTTTTGGTGGTGTGTCCGGTGCTGGTGTGCACACACACACTTCTTTCGATTGTTCGCAACCGCAATTTTTATCGCCATTGTTTTGTGTATCTTGGGAGGCGGTGGCGGCTATTTGGTGAGGTTCAAGAGCTTTTGTCGCATATGTGCTAACCGAATATTTGTCGTAGTAATTCCATGTGCGTCTGAGTAAAACATGTTAATCCCATTGTACCGCATTTGTTTTCGCTCGTGTGTCCAAAGTGGGAGCCAGTGTTTGAACTCTCTTGCACCGTGGAACAACGTTGGATTTTCGAGCATGTGTCAAACACAAGCAGCGCTTCGATCGGTTCATCAACATTTCGAATGCGTTGCGACCTTCAATATATTCTATAATTCTATGTTGAGACGAGTATATCGGGGTGCAAACAATCCTGTTTGTTGCCGAATATTTGCCGTTGCGGTGGGAAAAGGCCAATTAAATGAAGAGATAGAGAGAATAGCGGAAAAGAAGTACACAGCGCTCTGACAGAAGTAAAAAAGCAAATATTCGACAAACAAAACCATAGAAAAACAATGCCAAACGCCCAACGCCACCGATGATAATACCAGGGTGTAAATAATCATGCGCCTGTTCTTTTATCCGTTATCTGTTGACTGTAGTGTGTAGTCGAGAGACTGCCTCAAGAATTCCGAAGAATTGGTTTTAACGAGAATTCGGTCTTTTTTTGGTGCGGGCTTACATTCCGTAAATGAACCGTCCTCGTCTAATACCATTGATTTTACATGTAAAATAACAACAAAAAACGACAAAAGTGACCTCTCGTAGCGGCACAGTTGAAACTAACCAAACAAACACAATTGAACATGTCATTTTCATGTTCAGTGTTGGTTTTGTGTTTTGCCGTATAGCCGGAGAGAGATGTCTACAGCTTAGTGGCGTTGAATGACATTCAACACCCATGAAATGAACACTCCAACATATTATTAGTTGGCCATTTCCCTTTATTTATTATTTTGTTACAACCATCGTATTGTGTAGTCCGTTCATAGTGTTTTAGCTCCAATACACAAGTTCTTTTCAATTCAGGCATGCGTACACAACAAACCGCTTTGTGATGGAAACGCTTTCAGCCTCAAGCCACAAGATGTTTTCGACAGAAACATTATTTTTCGTATTGCAAATATTTTTCTAGTGTCTGCAGTTTTTTAACTCCTCCGCACTCGAAAACCTCAATACCATACAGGTGCATTTCTTTCTGTCTAAAACAACATCAAAGCCAGGCCACTGCTTTGATCTATCGAAATACGCAATCGGATTACATAATCCGACCCTCAAGCAATTTAATTGAAGATTGTTTGCTCAAATTGTTTGCGAGCTTAGGTTTAATGATATATTTACTCAAAGCGCACGTATTTTCTCTATGTCGATTGGTTCAGTCTTACAAACGCATTCAATTTTTTTTATTTCATCTCCAAAATTAAACACTAAAAAACATTTCAATTCTTCTCTTAGTTTCTTCTGAAAAATGATCTTTGAAAGAGAAGTAAAAAAAAGTTCAACGTCGGTTCCCCTTTATCGCGGTGTTTGATGAATGGTTGTTTTGATGCTCTTAGAATGGTAATTATGGCCATAGCTAATGAAGCTACTTGGATGTAATGAAGGCAAAGAATGTGTGGAATATAAATTTTTAGAAGAACATGCATATTTCCGTCGACTGAATGTTATCGTCATAAAGTTTAAAGTCATTGTTTCGCTAATCTACCGTAAAAAACACAGAGAGAAACACACACAGCCATCGTTTTCGTTAGCGTCAGATGTGTGAATGGCATCGGAAAATGACGGGCGCTGTGGCAAAACCTGGGGGGAGAAAGTGTAATAATTTAAAATAAGTTTTGTTTTATCTGTTGGGAAAATTTATATACGTCTATCGTATTTGTGGAGTAAATTAGTTTTACTCGTTCTGCTTATGTGATTATATAATTGCAATTAAACAAACATGCATGAGTGCTACGCATAAAACACCATATGCACGAACGACTGCACCAACACATACAGGAGAGACATTTGCAAAAGCGTTTTTTCCCTCGCCCTCTCTATTTCTCTCTGTCGCTCTCCATATTTCTATCGAGCACATCGAGAGACAGAGTAAATATATGGTGTAATGGAATTATACACCATACAATGTACGTAAAGTGAGTGCGGTGTTTTCGCCCATCAAGTCCAACCCTCTCGGCAATATGTTTATGTGTGTTGACACTCATTTATTAGATTTATTTAAATTCTCGAACTTGCCACAACAATTTCTAATGTTGGCATGCACAAAAGAAGCGCTTGCTGCCGCCGCCGCACACACATTCAGCCATAGAGTGTAAATGGAACAAGCTGATGATTGCATTATGGAAACGTTGAAATAAATTAACGCGCATAAAATGTTCACCAAATTGTGTACACTCTTTTTTTCTAGCCCCGTTCCCCATTCCGATGCTATACTCACTGTCCTATTGAATTGCTGTGATACGAATGTTTAAGCAAAATGGGCGAAGAAAATATCGGTCACTGGGTTTGTTTGCTTTTCTCTCTCTCTCTCGATTCACGTCTTGGGGAAGTATTGGCGTTACTTCATTGCAGAGGAAGAGAGAATTGCAACCAAAGGCACACAGTTAACCCGGAAAAAAAAACTATCTTCAATAATTTGGGAAATGTAGCTCAACAATGTTTCACAGTTTTATCTGCTACACGTATGATAAACATTCACCATAAACACTCGAAATAACTGCCTTGCTATCAAAGTACACTCCATTTTCTTCGCAATTTTCAACGCAGCGGAAAAACAAACATGTATCACTGTGAAACAAAATGAGAACAAAAAAAATGCCATCCCACCCATTAGAGATTTCCGAGCATCAAGTATGCACCGTACTTACATTCCGTGGCAAAGATCAAAAATTCCAAGCATTACATTTTGTGGCATCTACAATTTTCCCACATTCTATCGAACATTTTACGTTCCATTTAACATTGTCATTGTCTTTTACGGAGCAGAATAAAAACCTAGCTGATAGCGGACGCTTATGCAACAAAAGGACAAAATCACATACGACATAAATATGTATGATTGTCACTTGCTTTCCGAAGGAAATAAAAGGAAACACCAGCAAAAATTGGAACATGCGAGAGAGCTGGAGAGATAGGGAGAAAGAGTGAATGAGATTCACAGCGTCTGCGGTGTGATTACAGATCAGTTTTAAATTCACAATAAATTGCTGGATGAGTCGCATCCCACTCCCTGCAGTGGCATTACACTTAAGTGTTACAATGTGCCATGCAATGTACATACAATCGGATGCAGTTGAGCCGGGGATTTTTCGTCGCATTTCGGCTGCTTTTTTTGTGTACACATTCACACACAAAAAACCCGGCCAAGCCATGTACGCTCGCATGCTCACCCGCACCGCACGTATGCATACGAAAAAGTCAAGCCGAGTTTGTTATCAGTTCACACAATTTTCATTTTTACGGAAGGCATTCGACCGTACACACACATAAACACACTTTTAACTGCGGATAAAAATTATTCATATGTGATGGTTTTCAGCAGCAGCAGGAACAGCAGAAATCAAATGTACCGACCTCGCAAAAAAAAAACAACAAACAGTAATTGCGTTCATATTTATTTTATGCCATTGTCTAGTGGCAATAAAATGAAATATCCAAATCACAACAGCATATCCGAATCGCATTCCACTTACAATTCCAGTATGTGCAGTCAAAACTTTATTAAACTTTATTAACAAACATAACTTTATCGTCAACGTGGGAGGAAACGGGCCATTTTTCGTTGTACAATTTTCAACGTCAAATTATTTCTGTTTTGCATTTCCTTGGATGAATAAATATCGCAGATAATAAATAGTTTTTCATAACTCAAACGAGTTCGTTGCATGAGTGACATTTTGATCACAACTCACAATTGATACAGTTACACCAAATTTTCTCTCGGTGAGATCCAATCCTCAAAACAATTCAAACTATTATATTGCTGTCGTGCGCGCTCTCTCTATTGCTGTGTGTCACTCGCTAGAAATGTGTATAACAAAAACAGTTGACGTGCATTCACAGTGACACGAATGACACTTCGTTTTTGGTTATTCGAATCTTGCATTTTGAATTAAACATACTAATTTTCATGCATGCAAAAGTTCAAAGTGTATAACTTGTGTGTACGGCGGTGACAAACTAAAATATATCAACAGTAGATGCTAATAAACGAAAATATTTTGCTAAAAAGAATTTTGTTTTTTCTCTCTCTTTGTAAATGACGTGTTTATTCAACAAACTCTCCTCTCTGACGACACTATTTCTCTTTGCTATTTGAATCGTGTACTCTCCAGTTTTGTATGTTATTTTTTTTCTACTCTTTTACAAACTTTTCAATTTCACTTCAAAAACTAAACTCAGTGTCGAATCGCTGTTTACTTTATTTGCCTGCAAAAAGTTGTGGCAACCAAACTTTAAATTGCTACGTTGAGTGCTAATTTTCCTTAATGCTAATTGGTTTATCGCTGAATTTAATGTAACCGTCCTTCGGTGCTCGTTGCAGTTCCACCACCACGATTGAGTTTTGCTTTTTGCGCAGCAGCTCCTTCGGTAGATACAATGTAATTTGAGGACCAACCAATGGCCAATATCGACCCAAATTAAAGCCATTCACGAAGATAAATCCCTGCGGTTGAATAAACAAAATTCGAAAGAAGAAAAAGACGAAAAAAAAGATGTTGTTGTTGAGAGTTATTTTATGGGTTAAAATTTAGGTTAAAAGATTAAACAACAAATTATTATTGTGTATAACGAACCTTGCCCCATTTGATGGGATTGACGAACGTGTCAGCGATTTCATCTTCATCAATATCGAATGTGCCAGAAAAGACCATTGGGCCGGAGCGTAAATTCTCAAAACTACGTCCTTTGATACCATTTATTTCCGAATCTCGGTCGACCGTAGCGATTAATTCATCGATTTGTGTCGCATTTTCGAATGGAAAACCCGTAATATTCCAGTTGTTCAGCGTCACATTGTTTAATAGCACGTCGCCAATAATTCCCTTGAAATCATTGGCTATTTCAAAATTGATGCGACCCTGATTCTCAACCAGAATTTGCAGCATTTTGCCGAAACCCGCATTTATTGCCAACGAATTGGCCAAGTTTTCGCGTGATAATACACCGATGAATTTCTGTAATTATGAAACAATATTTGTAAGACAAATTTTCGAATGCCTGACAGTTAGGTGAGATATTAATTTACATTGTCAATGGTAACAATTGCTCGATCGTGCAATGTTGGAATCGTCAATATGCTCGGATCCTTTTTGAGTTTTGGCAATTCTGTTTCGTACAGCACAAATCCAGAAAATTGATTGATTTCTTCAAACGTAAGCGGCTTTTCCGATTGAATCACCTCACTTCCCAGTATTTGCCGCGAAGCTGGTGAAAGTAATGCAGCTTTGGCATGTACTTCAATCGTTGGGATTTTCATTTTTGGCGATTTCAATGGAATCGAAATGTTTGGCAGCGGCAAAAAATCTTTGATAACATCACGAAGTATGCCATATTTTGGTGTCACATCGCCAGTTTCGTCCATTGGTGCGTCGTAATCGTAAGATGTTAGGTCGGCTTGATATTTTCCAGGACCACCGTAATTAGCACCAGCCGTGAAACCGAAATTTGTTCCACCGAAAAACATGTAGAAATTTACGCTCGCACCTACTTCCAAAATGTACCTGCGCAAAATTATTGATGATTTATTTATTTATTTCTTTAAATTACTTTTGATTCATGTTGATTGTTATTTAATTTGAAAGCTTGTTCAACTTCAAAATCATCATTTTCAATAATTGAAAATTGAGTAAAGACACACCTGAGGCTCTCAGCAACAGGCGCAGGATCAACTTTGCCTGGAGGCTCTTGCCAGTGAGTAAACCACCCGGGATAAAACTCTGCATTAACAAGCGGTCCGTTTGGTTGATATTTTCGCAGTAATTGCCAATGTTGTTCGAATGTCGTCCTGTTACCTGATTTGGAAATTCAAAGAATTTTTTTTGTTAAATTTTGTTGAATTTTTCTACTCAAAATAATTGAGTAAATCAAAATTGAAGACTTCAATTTGAGGTTTTTGTTTTCATACCAATTCCAAAGTCCAATGTGGCGAGAACGTTTTCAATTTTTCCACATTTCAAGTCCTTGTCTCGAACAATGTCATTGGTAAAGAGAACCGCTTTATCGCCAACATATTTTTGGGTTTCATCTCTCACCCACAACGAGTATTTATTGTCACATTCAAATGCACCATACTCATTTTCCACTTGCACCAATATGATTGGACCACCATTTTCATACAAAAGACTTTCAAAGCGTGGCATTAGTTGCTCATACCAAATGCCAACCTCTTTCAAATAATCTGCCAACCCAATTTTTCGAGATTAGAAAAACTTTGCTTTCTTTTCCTGAGAAACTATAGTTTACATACCCGGATCACTTGTACGAAGTTTGATGTTTGGATATTTTGATAGAAGCCAAAATGGAAGTCCTCCCTGAAAATTGGAATATGCATATTTTATTTCGAAATAATAAAGTTCGAGTGGTGTGTGTGTGTGTGTATGTGTGTGTGGCAAAAACTTGTGTATAGTATAAAAATTCTCAAACCATATCACGTTCGGCACAAATATATGGACCGGGTCTCAGAATAACAAGCAAATCTTCCTCGGCAGCCAACCGAACGAATTGTTCAACATCGGCAATACCATCCCAAACATAGCTGCCATCACGAGGATTGTGCAACGACCATTCAACATATGTGGTAACTGCATTCAAACCCGATGCTCGAAGTGTGCGCAACTTATTGCGCCACGTTTGCGGCAGAGCTCGAAAGTAGTGGAACGAACCCGAGACAAACCGAAACGGTTGACCATCCTTCAGAAAGCGATTGTTTTCATAATCCACACGAAACGATCTTTCCTGCATACAAATATGAAATGAAATATTTTTACCAAATGAAATTCACTTCAATCTAATATTTATTCCATAAATATTTGAAATAATCAATAACTCAAACGCACAGCTGCAATCCATTGTGCTCCGACAGCAGCAAAAATCAAAACCAATGAAAATATTCGCATTGTCTTAAAAAAAACAAAGCACTCGAAAATTAAATTCAATTGAATAAATAAAGCCGGACGGATTCAATGATTGAATAAAAGTAGAATTTTCATCAATACTGACGTAAAAGAAAATCACGAGAGTCAATTGAAAATTACTTGAAATTGCAAAAAAACACCACTTGAATTATTATTTATCGACCGCACACTTCGTACAATGGTCAACAACAAACTGAATGCGAATCCAAATTTAAAACGGTCAGCGAGCACATTTCGATCTCATCGGTGTCAGTATATATAGTATTGATGCAATCTAAACCAACGTACTCAAACGACAACACTGACAATATGATTTAAATTGTCACACCGCTATTGCTCCGGATAGATAAAGATGTGTGAGTGTGTTTGTGTAGGCGATAAAGTAGCGAAATCATAACAAACAAATAAATTAATTTTATCAATGACATAAATCAATATTGTCAACAACTCGATTACATTGCAATATTTTCAACAGCGACGTGATATCAATTGGCATGCGATCTTGATTTTGCAACGTTTTCGAACCATATTCAATTTTGGGACACGATTTGTGGCGAAATAATCAAATTGTTTTGCTAAATATTGAATTGCCAAATAAATTTTTCGACCACTGCAAATGGCACAACTTTTCAATTGTATTCAATTTTTCGGAATGGGTTTTGATGTTTTAATTAAAACTACGGTTTAAATTTCAAACTACTTAAACTTTTCACCTTTTGCAATTGAAATTGAATTGAAACAATTAGCCATATATATCAGAGCGCCATGAATACCACTTGAATTCAGTCATGCTCGTTTATTTGTTGTTAAAACTTTAAAATGCGCATCAAAATAGAATGCATCAAAACAATTTTTTGTTTGTTTTGTTTTCGATTCTCATTTTTTGCCACCATGACTCTGTTACTGTTTCAAACTTGTTTTTCTATAAATAGAAACAAATTTGTATAATGCCTCGAATGCCTTTTTGCATACGTTTTTCAATGATTCAAAGTTGTTGTGTATAGAAAGAGTCTAGGAACGAGTGATGCTGTTCCATGAGATATTTCAAATAATAAACGACGGTCCATGAGAGACAAAACATAGTTGGGACTGAAAAAAATGTCACAAGTGGAAATTCTAGTGAGAATGTTTGTGATTTCTCTTCTCTTCTAGCATTGATAGCTAAGGAAAAATGGTGTGGTCTCTTCGTAGCTGAATTTATTTGCGCATTTCTTTATACAAAACTTGAAATTCCTCCACAAAACTCAACGAATGAATATTTATTCGCATTATGTCTGTTTGTCGTCGTCTTAAGCGTTGGCGAAGACAAAAACAATCATTGTAGAATTTTCGAAATTTTTTGCATGCGGTTTTTAGTCATGCACAAACAAACTTCCCTTCTAAAGAATGTTCTCATTGTGAGTTTGTCTCGAAGCAAAGTATAAACAAGAATTTCAGAAGCAAGCAACCCGGATTGCATGAGATAAGAATTCTTCTTCACGTATCATAGTTTCCAAAGATATCCACATATAACGGAGCACTTGCGAAGCACCAGCCCAATATCATCAGTGATATCTCTTAGCAACGCTGCAGAGACAAAATGCCCTTCATTGAGCTCACCATGTTTGCTATCATGATCTGAAATGAAACTGCATTGGGTATTTTGTTTATTTATGCTCAACTTTATGAATCGAATTTTAGCTTCGCTTTGCCAATTATTCTACGCAATTTCGGTTGAACGCGGAAAACACAAAATTTTTGAGCGAAAACCAACAATACGAAACACACACAAAAAAAACTCGGAAGATGGATAAATAAGGAACGAATTTCATCCATGCAAAATATTATGAAACGAAATGAGAAAATATTCCTGCAAAGTTTATATTGACATTCGTTGCTTCTGCTGCAGAGTGTCTGTGGAGTGCATCTTATGTGTGTGTGTGCGAGTTGAACTGTTTATCGTTTTGTGTGCTCTGCACAGCAAAGTCTCTGTTACTCGGGGATGGTAAACAAGTATATCGTTTTTGCTACCGGAATTCTATTCATTTCCATAAAATAAAGGCTTTGTCTGTTGCATTTGGAGCACGGAATCGAAAATAGACAAATGTCTTTTGTTGCACATTTGAGTGTATCATTTCGGCGACGGTTTTGTTTCGCTTCTCTTTTGAAAAGTGTTTCCTGCATTCAGCACTCTTGTACATGCACTGCACATTCATGCCGAGACCGATCAAAGGTACGATGTGAATTTATCTTGCTATAATGGAGTCAGTGAATTTGAGTGTCGCATCCCGTATTCTCGGCAAATTTTTAGCAAGAAATTCGAATCAAGTTTCCGAACGCGACAGTCGAATAAGTTATGTGATCACGAAATCCGATAAAAAATGCACCGTGGATGTCGCAAGTATCAAGGGCAATAAAGGTTCAAAAGGAAAGCGTGAAGATTTATGTGACCTTCATGAATTTACTGCGAATTGTTATAGTTACTTTGAATTGGAATTGCTGTTTTGTGCGCCACTATTTCTTCTCCGACACCGTTTGCAATTAGATAGGTGTAGTTCACGGCGTCAAAGCAAATCCTCATGCTTGTGATCTAACGAGGTGTTAAAAATAAATCTACCAATTTCCCACTCAGTGATGGAAAAACCAGCATGCCAGCAGACAAACACCATGCATTTATGTTAAGTAATAATGACAGAAACCGGCAGTGATTCAATCTCTTCTACTTTTCCCACTCTCTCTCCCACTCCCATTCTCTCTCTCACTCTCTGTCTCTTTTCTTTTATACATATTTGCATGTCTGCATCGCTAAGATACAAAATTCCAAATTTATTACGGGAAAATTGGGGCTGTGCAGTGCCACAGTGTGCACTGTGCGTTTGCACCATATAGTAGCCGAAATGTTGATTCATATCGTTTTAAAGCAGAGCACCGCATTTCTGAAATTTGACGATAATAAAAATATTGGACTGCGCGTCTAACCGAATTCCGTCCATTTATTTGCATTCTTTTAAATCTCTTCGCATTTATATTATTTACTGTCAGATTACTGTTTTGCTTGGTATTTTGCACGAGCATTTTAGTCGAATCTATTTAAGTTTGTTATGCAAACGGTATATCAAAGCGACATTTTTTGTTGGATTCTTTCTGTATTTTTCGTTTGTACGTATTTTTAGTTAGTGTATAGTTTGTCATTTGCAAGCGAAAAGTGAGTTAATTGTTAAATTCATCCTGAAATTGGGATTTCTACCGCTTGAAATCGCTCAAAAAATGCATCCAGCTCAATTGAACAGTTGATTGCGATCGTAACATTGCAACGAGCAGCTTGAAACTTCAACAATTGCAATAAATTATGTAATTCAAAGGGATTTTGGCTTAGCGCGAGTAGTAACAATGACAAAATAAGTCGAGCAATGCTCGAAACACACATTCTCATCGAAATGAAGGAAGAAGAGCAACAACCAACAAAAATTCCTTTTACATTACACTTTATTGTTTGAGTGTGTTTTCGAGGATATTTGTTCCGAGGCATGTTGTAACTTGTTGCAAGAGTATACAAATCGGGCGGTATGTGAAGCTTTCTATTTTCGAGCAATTTCCATTACTACAGCAGCAAAGCTGAAGCGGAGCAAACAAAATGTCAAAGCACAAAGACCGGCTAACTAACGAAGCAGAATCGAATGTACTACTACTATATGTACTGATAGCAGCACATTGAATTGAACTGAGCATGACGGTGAGTGAACACAACGACAAAAAAAAATATCGCTTGTAGACAAAGTAAGTGTTATTTTGTTAAAATTCCTTGATTATGTTTTATATTAACGTGCTCTATGGCCTGATGTTGTTGTATCCATGCGAAGCGAGCGCTCTGGTGCGCGCACATTGATACGAAAATCAACAAAATACGTGCGGCTCTTAAATTTCCATATTTTATCATTATCTTTTCGTCTGTTGTCATCTCTCTTTCGCACTCACTCGTGCTCTACCTCCACCGCTCTATCTCTATGTTCCCTGGAATGGGCATTATGTTTGTGCACTGGCTCGATATACATGCACACAACACACGCTTCATTTTATCCAAACACTTTTCTCACTTTTCGCTTTGGAAACGTACCATGTTTGTAAACTATATTATTTTTTTCTTCGAATTTTTCCATAGAAACGAAACGACTGCTTATTATCTTGCCACTACCTCTCGACACTTACAAGCCACATCATTTATTCTCTACTCCTCACTTGTGACACTCGGTCCTGGTTATTTTTCCTTGTTTTGCTCTCTCGTACGGTTATGCTCAAGCGAGTGCCAATGCTTATAAATAAAGTCAATATCACGGCAATCCGACGTAACAGCGTCAATCCGACAGAGTTGCTGCAACGAAATACGACATCTGAAATGTTTGATATGAAGAAATATTACGAATCATGCGACGAGAAAAGATAGAAACGAACATACTAATACGATAACAGCAGCACAACAAGACACAAACATGGCAAACAAATGGTGAACGTGAGCGATTCGGATTCTGATGACGGCGGTGTGATTTTTATTTCGTGTTTGACAAAGCTCCTGTGAAAAATTGCCCGGTAAACGTCGTACGGTTGATATTTATTTTGTTATTAAGCTTCTAATGCTTGTAACAAATGTACAAATTTACCAGTTACCGAAAAGTTGAAGCCACTTTTTGAATAAATAATCAGACAACCAACACTGATTACGGATAGAACGAAGTTGAGACCAGCCACAAGCCAAATTAATGTGATTTTTTTTCCGTCACGGTCAACGTCGTCGTCGTCGATGCTGTTGTCGGCGAATTTTATTTAGTTTGAAGATCAATAATAATGGACGAAAACTCGCAAATTGTCTGCGAAATTCTTGAATGTTTTCGCCGAAAGACTGATTAATGTAAACCAAATATGGATTTCAAGCATGCTGCTTCAACACCCCATGGATTAAGCCACGATCCAAAGAACATCAGGTATGTTATAGCGAAGAATCGTGCTTTTTGACAGATGTACTAAATTGAATGTTTTCTGTGTCGCCATCTGGTTGGTGATACTAATATCTCTCGCACGGTTCTGATGAAGATTTTATTTATTGTTTATACAATTTTATACAAAATCACTTTTTCATTCATAAACTCAATTTTGAAAAGAAAATCACAGTTGTTTCGACTTTTTGCATGCAAAATGCCTAAAACATAAGAGTGAAAAAATTGCCATCATCAAGTTTACACGGCACGACCAATTTCAAGTGTTGAAACTTTGTTTTGAAAGAAACCGAATATTATCTGAAAAAAACACTAGTTTGTGGACATTAATTCC